TCGTTACTTATATAGATATAGGTTTGTGTATACATAAACATATATATATATATATATAGGGGCCTAATCAAATGAGAACTAATTAGTTTGTGGTAACAGTGAGAACCAATATTAACCAYAAATCAATAGATAAATTAGGAAATTTATAATTTTGACAATTTTGAATTAAAATATTAATACAAGGATATTTTTTGTATTTTAAAACTTTCCTCCCTCCTCTCTTCTCTATCCGGCCACCGTCCGCCGGTGATACTACAATGGTATCACAATGCATCATATATGTGTTTGGGTATCACATTGATGTCGTTTGTGTGGTCGATCGAAGATGTAACACAGTGGTATCACTATGCATCTTATATATGATTAGGTATCACAATATATCTTTTTGTTTAACAGAGTCAATATTTTTAGGTATCACAGTGGTATCATAGTGGTATCACCGGAGGACGGTGGCCGGAGGCCGGAGAACGGTGGTTGGAGAGAGAAGAGAGGAGAGAGGAGAGATGAGAGTTTTAAAATACCAAAAATATCCTTCATTAAGATTTTAATTTAAAATTACCAAATTTATAAATTTTCTAATTTATCTATTGATTTGTGGTTAATATTGGTTCTCACAGTTACCACAAACAACTCAGTTCTCCCTTGAATAGGCCCCTATATATATATATATATATATATATATATATATATATATATATATTATTTTTAATAAACCAAAATTAAATTATAAAAATTTGAAATGGTAATAGTGATTGTGATATTTCAATAAAATCAAACGAGTGGTGCGGGGTCATAGGTTTGATGGTTAGCTCGTGTTGTCATTGCTGCTCTCGTTTAAAATATAGGGTTTGGTTTGGTTTTCGAGTGTGTAGGAATGTTATTTTTTCTTTTGGGTTTCTATTCTTATTTTTGGTTTTGTTTAATGTCTTCGGATTTGTATGGACTTGTTGAGTTTTTTAGTTCTCTTAGTTATGCGCCTTGCAAATCCTTCGTTCTTTTTGTTTTTCTTTCGTTTTTATGAGAATATTTTTGCTTTCCTTTCAAGAGAAAATTCAAATGAAACGGTATAAATTTATTTTATGAGAACTAGAATGGTACTTGCACAATACAAGGAGACACGTCTCGATGTTAATATTTTATTTTAATATTTATCTATGTTGATGTTATAATACGATTTTATGTAGTTTTGAGAAAATGATTTTTATTTTTGAATAAATATAAATTTGAAGATATCATAAAAGAATGAAAAAATAATAATAATGTTCTCGTTTTTTGTGTAATTTCTTTAATTCAATTCTTTTATTATAATTTAATTTAAGTATAATAATGAAGTAATTTATTTTTTGTTTATTAATATAACTTTTAATAAAGATAATAATTAAGTATTTTGTTACAACTCAATGACTATACTAGTTACATTTTAGATTTTTTATTATCAAAATGAGAAATTTATCATGTATTTTATTATGTTTATCTGCAGTTAGTTACCCGAATTCAAATATGAAGTTTCAATAAGTTGTAGTTACACATAATTTACTTGTAATCTAGAATTTTAAATAAATATACATTAATAAATAAAACTTCATACATAAAAATAATTTTTAAGAGTTATTGTCAAATAACCTTATAATATAATATGTAAATATAAGATTGATTTAATTTTATTTATGAAAATATTGAAGGTCAAAAATAGTGTGAATTTATTTAATTTTTGTTGAGAACTTACATGCAGTCCCGAAATCCAAATATATGCTAAAGAAAAAATAAAATTCAATAAAATTTTATCCATCATTTAATTATATATTCCAAAATCCAAAATCGAAATAAACATATTTCAGTTCAGTCCACCGGCCCTAAGGCCCAAACTCAAATGTCATATCTTTTGGGCTTTTTTTAATTTATTTCGTGGGCTTCCTATGGGCTATTATAAGTAAAGGGGTTTAGGTTTATTTTGGGGGAAATAACCATCTTTCCCTTGGGTTTATTAGATACCATGGACATGGACATGGAGTCATGGACAGCCGTTTGGTCCAAGGACCAAAATTACAGAAAGTGCAAACCTGTAGGTGTTTTATGTAATAAATAACGAGTTACAAACTGTAAGGACTAAAATTGTAATTTAGTCAATTATTAAATAATGTGATAAACAAGGATTTGTAGAAGATTCCATCCCTGTGGTGGGAGTACTTGTCTCAACTAAAATAATCCCAACAACAAAAATATATTATCTGTAAAAACATATTCCGTGACTCTATTATTTCCCTTTTTAAATAATATCTTAAATTACGAGTTTAAAAATTTTCAAATTTCAAATCCATCTTCAACACAAAATAAAATTTAATTAATTTAATTTAATAAATCGAGTTTTGTAATCATTAATGTTCGATTCAACACTTTATTCAAAAGTTTGAGTTAGGTCAAACGAGTCATACTTTTTTTGAGTGAATAAACGAGTTAATCGATTTTGAATTCGACCATATAAACAAGCTTATAAATCATCAATGTTGAGTTATAAGTTACGATATGTAACTCAAAATTGTTTAACGAACATTACGCTTGAGCTTGAACATTGAAAAGATAAATTCTAACTTTACGTTGTTTTGAAAAAAAGATATTCGTGTTGGAGTCGAGCTTTGGGGATGATATGATTTATCTCAAGTTGAGGCTAAACAATTTGCTAACCCAACTCGTCGATAAACATATCCATGTATGTAGTGTTCTAGTCGGGGGTTTTCTCAAGAGCTGTTTGTCTTGTGGAATAGGTATATGTCGTGTTATCCGAGCCACGACCATTCAGATAACACTATATTTGTAACTAGACATGTACTTGTTGAACCGACATTCGTGTTCCATTTCCGGTCTCCACGGATTCATATAATATGTTAACTCTTGGAAATGCCTAATGTGTACGAATTTTATCAACAATTTACCAATTTTATTGTATAAGAAGATAAAATGCATACTGTATCACATACCTTTTTAAATTTTTTTATATATATAGCAGTTGTGGTGAGTTTGACGATGATAATAATAGTAAATAGGGTTGTAAACAAGTGAAGTCGTGTTAGAAACTGGATTGGGTGTGCGGGAAATTACAACAAGAAATTGGATAAAATCAGAGATTGTGTAATATCTGAAGAAATATTTCGTTACTGTCTTGATTACCTGAGAATAATCTTAAATTACACTTTATGATTTTTGCATAAATTAAAAATTATGAAGTTACAGAAAATCCACGTATATTAAAATGAATGCCCTGGTAAAAGTACTAGAATTTATGAGCAATTATCAAGCGATGTAACCTCTCGATATCATTTATGAATAGGTATGGTCGTAGGGTTGAACATGGGTTACATTAATCGGGTTGAAAACATTTGAACAACACAACCCCCTGAATCGTGCGGGTTAGGTTGAGTTAGTCATGTTGAAACTTTAGTACATCAAAATATTCTCGTATATTTGTTACGTTGAACATTATGTGTTATCTATCATTAATCAATTGATACAACTTATTCACAATTATTAAGTAGAACACATTCAACTGTGTTTCTTAATATTTATATGAATAATCACATTTACTCAACATATATACGAAAACAAATGTAGGTGTTATATAGAGAAGAAGAAAAGAGTTAAAATAAATGCATATGAAGAGCGGATGGTCTAATGGTTTAGTGTACATATTAATAACGGATTTAACAATCATGTTAAATCCAAGGAATAGAAGGGTATTGGTTCATCGGGTTGGTGGGTTCAAATAACCTAAACCTAGTTCTAACCCAATACATACGGTTTAAAGACTTTACAACTCGATTAGACATTGGGTTGAGTTATTACGGTTTGAATGGGTTGGATTTGCTGGGTTGGTCGGGTTTTTGTGCACCCCTGTGAACAGGTTTGCATCAGTGTGTAAACCCACGAGTGAGTAACACTTCCACCCACTAATGAAGCCTTATCGGTGCCATTGACAAAACCTCACTAGCACCACTCATGTACATCAAACGTTGAAATCATCAATGTTACTTCCTCATATTTCGTTTGGTGGATGCGTCGTTCACCCTACCCCTTGATCGGTCAGTGAGATCACTGTTAGGGTTCTGTCCATTGGAACCTACAAGGGGGTGGTGTGACCCCCGAGTCCCTGACCCCTATCATATGACAACATTCGACGACCCCGAGTTATATCTAGCTTATACGATTGTCCATTCTTCACCTCCTAGCTCGTATTTTAGTTCAACTATCAACCCTTCATTTTATTGTGAATCAAATGCAAAAAAGACTCGATAATTCACTAAATCACCAACACCCACACTCTAGATTGGTGTCGACTTGAACCAAATTCAATAGCAAACAAGTTTGCTTATTATAGACTTGCTATCGAAAGGAGAAAGACTCGAGAGACCATAAATATCGATAAACATTATCTCATTTTAGTAACTATATATTTTATTTTTCTATACGTAAAGTTGGGAGTTTTTTTAGCCTGTTATACTTATAATTTTATTTAAACCAAGGGATTGTTTGACAGTTGTTGAATGATTTGATACCGAATAGTTAAATGGTTAGAATGATTAAGAAAATCTTATAATATAGTGTAAAATGAAATATAATTGTTTGGTAATTATTCAAAATGAAATTAGGGTTAAGGGAGATGCAAAATACAAAATATTCAGAGGGTTTTAGAACAATTAAGAGACAATTTTTGTTACCAAACGAGATTCACCCCTTAGCGATTCAGAGACCGTCTGTTAACGGGACTATTAAGAGTTAAACAAATAAACCGAATAATATTAAAAAGATAAAAATTTACAGTTTTTAATTTTCATATTTATTACCATAAAATATTGATTAGAAATGGTTTAAAATGAAATTAGGAAAATATTTGGGACAGTTTACAAGTCAAGCAAAGGTTTTATGTTGTAGAAACGGCGTAAGTAAAAATTGACAGTTGTTTCAGGGTCTCTTCCTTCGCTTTTTGAGCTTCCATTGCCATTAGTGATAAGCACGCCTGTCATTCATCATTCTCCCCAACTCCCCCCTTTTCCTCCTTCTCTCTTTTCTCTTCTTCCAGCTTCCGCCCACAACCTTCTATTCATTTTCTTTCTCAATTTTCCACATACGGATTGGATCTAAACATCCTTTTTTCGGATACCGAATTCGATCTTTTCTACTACGTCAAGGTAGGTGATGTTTCAATTAACCAAGATTTGCTTACCCTTCTTCCATTTCATCAAGTTGTTCAAGTTCGATGTTCAAGATTTTTGCTAAAATGATTGTTGTCTGTATCTGTGAACTGATCTGGATAATTCGAATGTTTTGATTTGATGTGATGATTGATGGTCTTGGTAGGAACTATTGAAGTTTTCCTCTTGGATTTTCCTCATAAGTATTAGATTTTAGATGTGCGTATCGAAAATGTTGGTATATAATTTGGGGAAATGTTGGTGGGTAGAACTTATAATGCTTTCGAGACTAGAAGTTAATGATTACAGTATGTGGTGCGATGAATTGTTATTATGTTGGGATGCTAAAGCGTTGATGTTTGTGGAAGTTTCGTGTAGGGTAGAGCTATATGTATAATTGTGGGAATTTTGGTTTTTGCATTTGTTTTCGGGCCTGCACATCTTCTTGTAAATCTGACGAAAATTGACTTATATATTTAAATTTTAAATGGACTTGTTATGTGCAATACAAGACCCCAGCGTTCTTAAAGTCTGCTGTAACTTGCTCATGATAGATGTAGAGAGGCCATGTAGATTTACTGAGAAGTGCTTAAGGTTTGTAGTCTTCTTGTGCCATTGATGGGGCAATAGCTGAATTGATATGTTAGTCAACTGTTGTCAAGTAAACGAAGAAAATTGGGGTGGGGGTGGGGGTGGGAAGAGATCGAATTCTGAGAATGCTTACTTGTCTGCTGGATAGCTTTATGGTCGTGAATGTAAGTTGTTGAAACAAGGATATGGTTTACCATTAAGGTTTATTTCACAAATCCATCGTGTTGATACAGAGTTATCTTTTTGGATTTGTCATTGTGCTTAACAACAATAACTTGACCAATTCTGTTGGAGGGGCAATTGGAGGGTGTAAGTGAATTTTCATACCTAAAGAATATAGAATCTGATGCATAAAAGCAGCCTCCAAAGCATATTCGAGAAACATGGTTCTTGATTCTCACAGCTGAATTTTTTCATGAACTTTACCATAATAGACTTTGGTAGATTATCATAATACACCTTATTGCAGGAAGCTCACTTGTGGTTTGTCAAGATGTCAGATTGACATTGAACTGATATGATATTTAAAAATTAGAGCTGTAAAGTCCTTCAAAGAAATTAGCAATACACATTCTGGTAATCTAATATAGTCACTAGAAACATAATATCGGTGCGAAAGGAATCCATTTGTTGTAGTCTTGTAGAAAAGAAAATTACCTGAAAACATTTGCAGATGCTAAATTCCTGCAAGTAGACTGCGCACTAGGTAGTACCTCACTAGATGAAGGCACGACCTCAAATATCATGAACAAAAAGGGGCGCAACATCCTAAATACTATATGCATATGTGCATAACTAGATATGTGCATTGCTTCTCTGGTCTTGACTACTAGGCAGTAGTTCAAACATTATAAAAACTTCCTATTTCGATTCAATGGGGTTCACTTAGAATCGATATGACTGATTGGGCCTTCTTTTAGATCTTGCATTTGTTATATTTCTTCCTCTCCTGAAGGTGTTTTCTTTTACTTTTTAAGTTATATTATACTCGTTTTTGCTCTTTTTGGTTATGAAATCATCATGAACATCAAAGATCAAACTTATGTGTATCCCATACCAAATGCCTGTAAATTAGTACTTTTACACTTCTGTTTACCTTGTCAATTTCTAAACCTCAATTGACCTTCTAATACACATTTCAGGCTCTTCTTGGTACTCCATACCAGTTTCAGGCTGTGGCTTTAGAAAGCCACGTACTGAAGTAAAAACACTATGTCTGTTTCTATGAGAGATTTGGATCCAGCCTTTCAAGGAGCTGGACAAAAAGCGTATCCTTTGTCTTCTGATGTATCATGTTATAATTTTATTCTACTGGGAATCTTTCATTGCCTTTATGGCATTATATGATAATATAAATATAGTTAATTTCATCTCATTGCATCTTATATTCTATTTTGTCTCATGTAAATGATGGGAGCTACATAACATGGAATTGATTGAGAAGGGGATACAAAGATATCTTAAAAATTATCAACTATAACTTTTTCATATATGGGTGATTATATGTTCCATGATGTAATTTTTTCTAGTCATCATGATTGTTCTCCCTTTTTTCTTTCCTGAACAATTTATAGAGGAATTGAAGTGTGGCGCATTGAGAACTTTAAGCCAGTGGTCGTTCCACAGTCTTCTTATGGCAAATTCTTTACAGGGGATTCCTATGTTATTTTGAAGGTTTGTTCTCTAATATTAATAGAGTTGCATATTTGCCCTTTGTTACTTTCTTGAGTCTTTCTATATTATTGTTCTGTGGAAAAGATTAACTTATTCATAATTGCAGCTTATGATGTTAGTTATCTACTCTTGATATTTTGTTTCTCACCTATGGGGTTGTACTATATGCGTTTTTTATTCATTTTATTGTGAAGTGCTCATACTTAAAATACGTATCGTAAATCAAGAGTCTAGTATTGTTAGTAAAGTTGTTAGAATGCAGTAATCATCAACGTGTTATTTAATCGCCCTTCTTGAGTGGGACTAAACATATGGCATCTAGAATGATCTCATCTTTAAACATCCCCATGATTTAAGCGATACCACTAAATACTAATTATCCTCTTTACTAAGCTGAAAAGTTGTGACTTGTTAAGACGGAGTGCCCTGCAATTCACAAAGTTCCTATTAAAACTTGCAGATTCTGAACAAATAAATATTCCCTGCTGCTTCATACTTTCTAAGCACCATGAATTTGTGAGAAATCTGTAATGTTGAATGCAGTTATAGTGCCTTTGCACTCTTGAAGGATTTTAAAGTTCAGAGGTTAAGTATTTATAGATGTACATCACATCATAGGGAACAATGGGTTCAAGTTATGTTACACTGACTTGCCATCTTAAGGGGGTTGTAATTTTGTCTTAAAATTTTTAGTAAATTACAAAAAATTGTCCCTGATGTTTGGTGAAACTCTGACTAATGTAACCAACGATTAGAAATTAGAAAAAACGTCATCAAAGTTTGCATTTTCGTTGCACTTTTGGTCCATGGCTGTTAGCACCATTAACTGCTACCGTTAGGTTAGGGGCATTTTCGTCTTTTATTTTTTTTTATTAGAAAATAGTGTACAAGTATTTAGAGCTATGTACAAGTTATGAAAGCATTTCAAACAAAATCCTAAGACAAAACAAAGAACTAAACGCAACCCCCCTCTTAAAACACACACACACCATCGCTCCTTCCTCCCCACACCCACCAGTGACCGGTTTCCCCCAATCGCTGATGACTGCAACTCCCGCCCTCCTCCACCCCTGTCTACCCGCCTCAAAACTCAAAACCCATCTCTCTTCCTCTTCCTTGGACAGCCTTGTGTAACAAACCTAAGTAAGGAGTGCTAGCCTCAAATGGGGAATGGATCAGTAGTGTTGCGGGGGGAAGTAAATAGGGGACAAGGGGGATTAGGGGGAAGAAGGAGAAGAGGAGGTGGAGCAGAGGGGAAAAGGAGCACGACGGTCACGGTGCTGGAGGTAGATGGCAGACAGAGGTGTAGCCAAAAGGGGGACAGGCTGGTGCCAAGCCATCCCCAATACATGTCCAACCCCATTAGAGCATCTCCAACAGATTCTCCAAAATATCTCCAAAATGGAGAATTAAAACTCAAAATCTCTAAAAAGAATTACATTCATTCATCTCCAACAGATTCTCTATTTTGGAGACTAAAACATTAATTACATTATAAAAATAATTTGTACATGTAATAAAATATTATTTCTCTCTCATAAACATTTAACATCAAGGTTAGCTATTGGTGGAATATAATAAAGAATGTTCCTCTCTCATGGTAATCATTTTTGGGGAATTCTCCAAGTTTGGAGAAATTCACTCTCTCTCATGCTTTCTCCATTTTGGAGAATCTGTTGGAGCAAAAATATTCCCCAAATATCCATTTTCTTCATTTTGGAAAATCTTTTGGAGATGCTCTTAGCCTTGTTTTATAAAAAAATTTAATATTGAAAAAAGAGGCTCAAGCCCCACATATATCACAACATGTAAGTTAATTATTAGTATTTAGTAATTTTTGGTTTTTTGTTAGCAAATGATACAACTTTAAAAGAAACTTAACTGTTTAAAGCCTAATTAATTAAATATATTTGATTTCTTTGTAGATTGGTTGGACCGTAAGTGTGATGATTTACATCAACCAAATAGGGCAATGGCTCGAATATAATAATGTAAATACAATTATAACTAATGTGAAATGTCTAGTTGTTAAAAAAATCCACACCCTAGTTTAATTGGATGTAATTGTTAATATTGAGATATTATAATTTGCTTTAGGTTTTCATATAACATACATGTAAATTGTAATTTCTTTGAATTTTTAAAAGGTGGAAATAGTTGAGTATATATTAAACTTGGACCACATCAACTTCATAAATCAAAATTCTATTTTAGTCTGGATGGTCACAATTTTTTTTTCTGTATACAATATTTAACGTTATCATTTAACAAAGTGTCAAAGTGTGACACTGAATGATCAGACCCCCCATCGAAAGATCCTGGCTCCGATGGCAGATGTGGTGGCCCGTTGTGGTCACAGGGACGAAGGGACGCAGCTGGATTAGGAAGGAGGGGTTGTGGTGGTGAAAATGTCGAAGGCCGGTGGCTGCAGTGCTTGTGGTGACTGGGTGGTTCACGGCTTCGAGGAGCAGCGAACCGCGGTGAAGAGAGTGCTTGTGGTCACAGTGGTGGTTGAGGAAGGAGAAGAGGAGATGGTTTGTTCTCTTGGTGGTGCAAGGAGAAGAGGAATACTGGCAATTGGGGGGATTTGCAGCGTTGCATATTGGGGTAGGGGATGAAGATGGGCTGGGGGGAGGGTGGTGGGTTGGGATGGTCACTGGTTCATGGGTTAGGTTTTTTTAAAATGCTTTTCCAAGTTGCAACTGTTTTTAAATAAATAATAGCAAAAAGACCAAAACGTTCCTCATTTAACTGCGGCTGCTAACGGCCATGGACCAAAAGTGCAACAAAGTGAAACCTTGATGACGTTTTTTGCAATTTCCAATCATTGACAATATTTGTAATTTACTCTAAATTTTTTGAGCTAATGAGTTTTGCAATTGAGACAAATAACTATAAACTTTCCTAAGGTTGACATTTCTTATGCAATAATGGTATTGCAACTACGTTTATGACACTTCTTTTTTCATTTTTCCTTTTTCTTCTGAAAAGGTTCTCTTTGTGATCAACTTTTTCCATTTATAGATTTTTTATTCAAAATACATTCTTATTTCCACACAAAATATATCAGTACTTGTCTTAATTTGAACATTTTTAGGGTAAAACAGCTTTTCATGTATTCACTGATGAAATAATTCAACTATCAACAGTATATTAGTACGCAATCTATGAAAATGACAATAATTGACTAAATAAAATAACTTTTTACAAGTGTTCGACTATAGTCAAATGTCTAAATAGCCAATACACTTCTAAGATGCCAAAATGAGGATAAATTTGTGGACCAAAATTAATCCAATTAGTCATTCTTAATCAAGACAAGTGACCTGATAGGAATCGTAGCAATTAGTTGGACATCCCAAGTTGGAAATTGTTACAATATCATCAAGCTATATGTTGGTGTGCTTGAAGCCTCGAAACAAGAACATACAGAAAAGCAGAAAAGGTAAAGAAAACAAATAAAAACATCAGAGGAGAGAAAATAAATGAGAAGTGGTAATAAAATAGCCTTATCTACTCCATTTCACCAAATTTGAAACACAGTAAAGGAATGTGGTAGCCTGACATGTAAAAATCACATGATTACTTTTCTGGTAATGTGAGCTTAGATGAACATCCCAAAAGGGAAGCTGTATTTTATCGTAGGCCGGAAAGATAATTACTTCAATTAGGACACTTGGGCCATTTTCTACGACTATTTGTGCTTATTCATTTTGTTGAGGTCCAGACGGGCTTGACCAAGCTGTCAGGACTTACTCGGGACCACCTAAAGGTCCCGAGTTCCATGCGGCAGGTCAACTTGTGCGGCAAAAGGTTCACCTTCTTGGGTGTGGTTTGCTGGGTCATCTGAAAAGTCTTTCTGTTGAAATGTGTGGTTCATCTTGCATGGCTCAGTAAAATTTGTCTTTAGACAAGGTTCTATTTTTAGACTTCACATTGTTCTAAATAATGGATTTTATATTCCTTTTGCAGACTATTGCTTTGAAAAGTGGTGCCTTACGTCATGACATCCATTATTGGCTTGGCAAAGATACAAGTCAGGTGAGTTTTCACTTGTGGGATACAAGTTATATAACCAGTCACTATCTAACATCACATCTTCTTTTTCAAAATGTAATCCTGATTCTTGATCCAATTGAATTTGATGATATGTTGAACCACCCCCCTTCAATTCCACATGCCAATTATTTGGTTACAGGATGAAGCGGGAGCAGCAGCCCTGAAGACGGTTGAGCTTGATGCAGCTCTTGGAGGACGTGCTGTTCAGTATCGTGAAGTACAAGGACATGAGACAGAGAGGTTCCTTTCTTACTTTAAACCATGCATTATACCTCAAGAAGGTGGAATTGCATCTGGTTTCAAGCATGCTGAACCTGAGGAGCACAAGAACCGTATGTTTACTTGCCAAGGAAAGCATGTAGTTCATGTAAAAGAGGCAAGTTTGTGTTCTTAATGCTCCATCATTACAGATTGTCAGTATGGATTTTCATGGTATCTCAATTTACTTTGTTGGAGGCAGGTTCCTTTTGCTAGATCCTCACTCAATCATGATGACATTTTTATCTTGGATACCGCGAATAAGATATTCCAGTTTAATGGTTCCAATTCATGTATTCAAGAAAGGGCTAAAGCACTAGAGGTTGTGCAGCATATCAAAGATACTTATCATGATGGGAAGTGTGACATAGCTACTGTTGGTAAGTGGATATTATATTGCTACTTCAAATCTCCATGGTCTTCACAATTGAAGTCTTATTTCTGGTTTTCCTGGATAGAGGATGGAAAATTGATGTCTGATGCTGAAACTGGAGAGTTCTGGGGTTTCTTTGGTGGCTTTGCTCCACTTCCGAGAAAAACGGCGACAGATGATGCCAAAAATGCCGATGCTCTTCCCACTCAGCTCTTCTGGTAATGTGCTCTCACCATTTTGAGTCTGCCTTTGCATACTGCTTATACATGCATGTATTATAATGAGCTAGATGGGAAGAGTAAGATGCCAAGTTTAATGGTACCAGAAGATTGGGAGAAGACAAAAGCCATTATGGATGCAACAATTAGGAATTATAACAAACTACAAAGGAGAGGTGATTGCTGATGTTTTCTGGAGTTGGTTTTTTAGAAATTGTAACAAACTACTAAGGAGAGGTGACTGCACCAAGGGCCAGGTTTTGCATCACCTTAAGGATGTCCCCTTGGTTAATCGGCATTGATGTCAGGAATGTTCTACGGCTTATCATCAACAAAATGATTTTCATGACTTCATGAGCTTGTGTAGGTCTAGTTCTCCACCAATAATGAAAACTATCATCAATATAACAAATATCTTACCGGTGCTCCTAGTTATATAATTTGGGAGAACAAAAAAGAAAAGGATTGCTAAGGAAACTTTTTGTTCTTTGAAAAATGTGATTGCTTGACTCAGCTTTCTCAATCCTATTTTCTGCTGCATATGAAGTTTCTATCCCATTCCATTTAGAGCACGATTTTTTCAACCTGAAATGATCATATCCTCATATTGTCACAGTTTATTTCCCTTGTCTTGTCCTCTGACTATAAGATTAGTGTTTGGTGTTCTTTTGATATCAACATCTTCCTGATTACAGGCTATGTTTCTTATTCTGCTTGTGCATGCCCTTCTGGGTTCTCTTTGTTCTATGGCTACTTCTTTTAATCACATGAATGTTTTCATTTTGCTTATTTCCTTTAATGATTTTGCCACATATGTTTTTAGCATTCGAATCTAATGTGTGACTGAAAAAAAACTCTCATTTCATCATTCTATTAAATGAAATCATGAATGATAAACAAAGTTTAAAATTGTTAAAATTTCGAAGGATTTTGATCGGACGGTGAAATTTGATGGAATATATAGCCTTTTTTTGACAATTTGTTGTTGTATTCAAGTGTCGAGAAGGGGCAGGTTGAACTTGTTGCTGCTGATTCCTTGAAAAAGGAGTTGCTAGATACGAGTAAATGCTATCTTCTGGATTGTGGGGCAGAAATTTATGTATGGATGGGGAGAGGTACTTCTCTTGATGAAAGAAAAGCTGCAAGTGGAGCTGCAGAAGTATAATTTCAGGCTTTCATTCTTCTCATGCTTCTTACACTGATATAGATCGTCTTCACATAATGTTGTTGACCTCAACTTGTAGGAATATCTTCGTAGCCAGGATAGGCTAAAATCTCATATAATACGCGTGATTGAGAATTTTGAGACGGTAACTTTTCGATCAAAATTTGAGGCCTGGCCTCAATCAACTGAGGTGGCAGTCTCTGAGGATGGTAGAGGCAAGGTGGCCGGTTAGTTATTATATGCTACACTTGCTCTGCAATATTTATAAAAATCAATTTGATGGAGTATTTTTTATGAGTGTAACTGTGATTTTTCCTGACAAGTTTTGTGAGTGATTAACGCTGTCTCTTATTTGTTTGTCTTTTAGCACTTCTAAAGCGCCAAGGGGTCAATGTGAGGGGTCTACTTAAAGCTGCTCCTGCAAAGGAGGAACCTCAACCATATATTGATTGCACTGGACATTTGCAGGTAGTGGAAAAAGAACACATATTTCTTATGCTGTACTTTGTGTCTTGTTAATCGTCTAATTGCAAATTTACTTGCCCTAGTCATAAGAAATAACATATAGGAGGATAGATGATTTGCTGCCTCCATAAGATTTATGAACAGATATTAGTTATTGGTTTCCCTTTATCCAACTAGAAAGAAAGAAAATATAATTTCGAATTTTAATAAGCTTCCCGTCTATCTGCTATGTTATGGCTATGAAAAGTGATAAGGCATGGCCTGAAAATGTGATGGGCTATTTCATCTTCCATATTCAATTGGGAGCGCCAGAAATATAATAGATTTGAGATTTTTCTTTAGGGCCTCTTCTACCTTGATGTTATGAATTTGGTAAATGTGCTGTTAGAACACATATCCTATATTCTGAGTTGTTTCTCATGCAAATCTTTTTTCTAAAGTATATAATATTGACATACAGAAAATGTAATAAATAAACTCACACACCCTCTTCACCTTCGGTGAGGTTTGAACCCCTGACCTCCTAGGAGGACAAAGGCTCACATACCGCTAGCCCAAAGGCCCTTTGGTTTCTCATGCAAGTCATCTGGGCCACATTTTCAGTTTGTCATATCCCAGTGAATATGTAGCCTTATTCTTGTTTTCATCCCAGAAAAGGAGAAGAATTTACATAATGAACCTGAAGTTAGTGCTCCATCGTTTTCTATTGATGTATTCACCAACATGGTTGCACAGGTTTGGCGTGTAAATGGTCAAGATAAGACCCTTCTTTCAGTCCCTGATCAGTCAAAGTTTTATAGTGGAGAATGCTATATCTTCCAGTATACATGTCCTGGAGAAGATCAAGATGAATGCCTTGTAGGGACATGGTTTGGAAAGCAAAGTGTTGAGGTATTTCTTTTTGCAATCAAATTTTTATGATTTTCGCTGAATTTCATATATCATGGTTTATCTAACACCATCGGAACTCAAGCATCATATATTGTCGATGTATACAAAAAGCATCAGCTACAATGCAAACAGCTGACACAACACAAGAACCTCTATCTAAATTTGCATATAATTAAGAACTTTGCTTGAACCGTTACTAGATGACTCAGATGACAAGGCTGGGTCAGATTGGGTTGATATGGGTAAATGGTCAAATGTGAAAGTTGATATGGGTTGTTTCTTGTAGATGGGTTGAAGACGTATTGGTCAATTAGGCAGGTTTGGGGTGTGTCAATCTGTTAACCTTTCATTTTCCCTTTGTTTTTTGTTTTCGCAAATTCAACTATCAGGATGTGATCATAAGTGAAACTTTGAAATTTGTAGTCTCACATAAAATGAAACTAGATATGGAGCCAAAATAATTCTTAACACGTTCCGACAGAAACCAAAAATTGAAATAGATTAAAAGAACCTAATAATTTTCCATATTGTAGTTTCAATAAAATGCAAAATTGTTGTTCTGTGTAGTTAGGTTGGATCAATATCTGACCTACACATCCCCGATTATATTCCTCTTCTTTCCTAAATGCGAGGAGTAAATATAAGAATATATATATATATATTAGACATCAATTGAAGAAAGAGACTTATGAATATTGGATAGTTATGAGTTGGGTACAGTGAAAAAACATTAGTTCTATGTAGTAATATTAATTCATTTTCATTATTATCAAATAATTCTCTAAAATGTACCGATGTTGATGATTGTAACATCCCTGAGCACAATTTATAGAGCATGCATAATCCTTTATATTTATGTACATATATATAAATATATACATTATAGAGCCTTGGAGAGTTGACAAAAGTTTACAACATACAATATACAAAAATACAAGATCAAGTAATAAATAATGTCTCCAAGGTGCCACTATAAAAGAAACATGCTCAACTCTCAATCCCATCCCCATCATAACTGCTACTAACCTGTCGTGCATAGAAAAAGAAAGACGCCGAGCAACGTGCACAGTGAACGGATTAAAGATAGACCCAGTAAACCTTAAATTGGACTTAAATAAAACAAACAGCAGAAGTAAATTGTATAATCAAAATCAAGACTCAGTTGGTATGTAATTCAAATGGACACATAACAATATGGAGCTAATATATGCCTGACGGCAAAATCAAGAATCACACAATCCAAATTGCATCACAAAGACGTGTTGTCTGATGGACTGTCAAATCCGCTCGAATGGTTGGGGGTAGAGGTGCGCGGACACACGACTATCTAGTCCCCTCCGTGACATGTTCACGGCCTGAAATATGCGTAAACTAATTCTAGGATCGATCCATACGCTCTCTGAATGACCGGTACTAGACCAGGTCCACTTAAGGAACCTAATCAGAGTGAGGATGCCATGATAGTATAGCCACCATGGAAGCAATCCCTACTATGGTGCCCCATTGGTCAGGTGTTCTGCAAATGATCAACAAAAGGGGCCACCACTGAGTGTGGCAATCACATAATAATTCAATGTTCAACAAATAATCAAGTTCATCGAATCCATAATCGTAAGAAATCAAGTATTTCAAATAAACATCAAACGGGAAGACATGATAACAGATAAAATCCGAAATAAATAACTAATAATGAAACTTAAATCAAGAAAGGATACCAAACAAACCACAATGAAATCCAAGACAACCTCATAACAATTGGGATTGATCATAAGCAATTTCGTATTGACACCTATCTTGTTAGTATATTGTGGTGTACCACGACCACGGATTAGATAACCACTTCAATATGTTATCCACGAGTCAGAATTACAGAAATCCGTACTTGATAGATGAGGACACCGTACAACTCGAGATGTGTGGTGACCTTTGTCAATTTCAAGGATCCTATATATAATAACAAAGGATTCGGAATTACATTACTATCGTACAAAAAAACATATATGACCCTTATGCCTTGTTATTGACCCTATACTAACCCTACATAGGTTAGACAAGGTTTAGGATCATATTGAAAAGAGTTACATAAAGGACATGCCTTTAGGCACGACATACACAACCAAAGCGGCTTATACCCCTGCACTCTGGACAGCTTTGTACCAACTTAACTTGGAAGCTGTTCTTACTCCTAGAGGCTAAATAAGCATTCTGGGTCTAAACGAAAGTTGAAGATATGACTCTTATGGTTCCAATCACTTTGGAATTAACTCATTTAGAGCAATGACCGATTTTATAGGAATTTTACAAAAAACAGTGTGCAAATCCCCTTTTTTTCACAGTACCAGCTTTGGAAATACACTGTTTCGAGCCCTCTAGAGCCACAATTAGGTCTTGGTGTGAACTACAAAGTTGTAGTAGACACAGAGCTTTCCATCCATGCATAATACACCTCAAATGCAGCAACCAGTGATTTTATACGAATTTTATAAACGAACAACACTTTCTGCCAGATTCCAACAGCAAGAAATTCTAACAATTGCTAACCAAACTACTTTGTAACTTGATTAGTCATTGTTTCTTAGCTTAATTTAGGACCACACCTGCAAATAGCATATTAAGATAAGTTTTTTGAAACAAAAACATAGTCATACCTTCTATTGATTTATTCTAAACACAAAAATGGCTTCAATTCTTCAAAAGATCAAAGATTTGTCATTGCATGAAGGGATTCCTAGAGGTTTTAGGGTTGGGATTAAAAGAGAGAAAAGAGAGGGTTTTTAGAATAGAGAGAGAGTAATTGATCTGAAAATGAGGGTTTTTAATTCATAAATCATATATATATTTATTGGGAAAAAATTACTTTATAAACCCCCAACTTTGGCTTTATTAAAAACCAGCCCCTATATGACAATTTCACTACATTTTTGGTCCTAAACTATGGATTAGCTTGTACAACCTTGGTCCTTATTTACCATTTTACTTTTCATTTTTAGGACAAGGTACAAGACACTACAAGCTATTGTACAAGCGATTAGTGCATAAATAATTTATAATGGAACACGTAAACGGTTATAAGGAAAATCAGGTATTATAATGGTATCAAAACCAATATATTAAATGAATGGCAAAGACACATGGGCAAAGGTTGAGAAAATGGCAGTTTTTGTAAGATTATTAGGAGCAAGGCATTAACGAATTCTATCAGGTCTACATGAAAGGCATTAGCTCGTTGTAATCTTTTGACTGATTTCAACCCACAACAATTTTTTTTGGGATCAACCACCCAACCCTTTGGATTGAGGTTTAGACTGGGAAAATTTGAAACCTTTGATGGTAATTGCCACCTCTAATTTTTGCAATTCACGTGTCCTTTCTTTTCCTGAACATTAAGTTCATCTTCAACGGCTAGCATTTTGCTGTAATGATAGGAGAATGGAATGAACTAAATATTAGTGATAGAAAAGGACATTTGTTATAAAAGGGATAACAAGTCTCAAAGCTCAATCAAAGTCGTTATTTATGAAAATTGGGGGTACTGCTCAATGGGAAATTCTGAATGCTCTCATATATCTTGGATTTCAACTCTCTGCAGGCAACTCCTTGGTGTTATTATCTGGATATCAAATCATTAAAAGTTAGCAAAAACATCATTTGAACTCAGAACTCCCAGTTTACCACACATTTGAACTCTAAAAGTTCATTAAACATAATTACCAAGGTAACCGTATTCAGTAGTATCAGCATCATCTTATCCATTAACTTTATAGTTTCTATGATGCTCTGCATCTGGGCTGTTCTCTAACATGATAGTTCAGCAAAGAAGACTCTATTGAAAGGGTATATTGAGGTTTATTCAGACACTGGTTCATAATAATATATTAACATCATAGATTACATTTAACAGTGAAACGTAAGTTATGGATTTCATCTTTTATCTTAAAACCAAGTGATAGATATTGGAATATTTATTCATCCAAATGATACTCATGAAATCAGTTATGCCAACTTACATAATACTCTTATTGATGGAAATTTCAACCATCACTAGAAAAACGTTGCATGAAGTTGGTTTCTGCAGGAAAGATATTAGTGATTGACAAACTGTCTTTGTAAGTGATCTGAAAAAATGGAAGTTCCCTCATGTAGATATGGCTTAAACAACCTTAAAATGCACAAATATTTTGGTGTGGGTTTCTCAACAACTGAAACCATGAATTGCTTAAGCTATCAGGGAATAGGCAACCAAATTTCTTATCACCCTAATAATCACATGCCCTTTTCTAGGATGTGTTGGGTATGACTACTTTTTCTATATATGTGAATTGTGTGTTCCATCCCCAGCATCTGGATAAGCCTGATACTCGTTAGTATAATCATTACCTACAAAACCATACAACATGAGACATATAGTTAAATATACACGGATCAATTAAAACAATCTGATAACGCCTGAAAGGTTGTGAGTCATTGTATCTTTGAGAGACTTGTGCATATATAATGGGTGTGTGTATATATAATTAATATTTAACCAAATATGTGTTGTAGGAAGACCGCAATTCAGCTACCTCACAGGCAAACAAGATGGTTGAGTCACTCAAGTTTCTGGCTTCTCAGGTTGATTGCTTCACCTGATCATCAATTTAGTATCATGTTCTGTTATTAATCTTGTGATGTATTTGTACTAATAATTTGGTTTCATGGATTTTTAGTTGCAAATTTATGAAGGAAGCGAACCTATCCTTTTCTTTGCAATCTTTCAGAGCTTTCTGGTTCTTAAGGTGTGCTTCAACTTAGATGCTGTAATATAGATCAAACATTAGAAATGAAGTCTTTGTTCTTCGTTTACAGTTCTGAATTTAGCTCTTGATGTCGATTGACATGAGTCATCAATTTATGAAATTCTCAGGGGGGTCTAAGTGATGGATACAAGAATTTCATATCAGGGAAGGAACTTCCTGATGAAACTTATAAAGAAGATGGGGTTGCACTATTTCGAGTTCAGGGATCTGGACCTGAAAATATGCAAGCAATCCAAGTTGAACCTGTAAGTTTATCATCAGTGTTGAACAAAACTTTTATTTTCATGTGTAAATTCAGGGGAATCTTCATTCTATTAGGATTTTAATGGCCTGAGCATTCACAATGATCAACGAGTGAAAGCTTTTTTTTAATCATCAGAAAGATAAAAGAAAATCTGCCCCATAGGTTGCATTTGTTATTGTGAAAGGCAATACTCTCTCAGCCATAAACTAAATGTGCCTTTTAACTTTTGGTTTTGTGACTTTGTCTCAGTTTCTGTGAACTTTTGTTTTTTAATTAATTTTTATGCAACGTTTACACAAGGGTAATTTGAGAAATGTTCAATAAGAACTCAATTACGATTTTGTTTTGTTCTCATAATCATTAATTTTGGGCTGTCGAATGAGTGTTGTTGAAATCGAATTTCATATGTAAAAAGGTAATTTTTTTGGAAAGCTCTTACCACAACAGAGTTTTTAGATGTTTGGTAGCTAATATTTTAGTTCTAGTTCAATAATATACTAATAGCAGTTGTGACATTTTTACATATTGTTAGGCTTAAATTAGTTGTTGAAAGGTAGTTTTGGTATTTACATTTAACTAGAATAATTAGAGGGTTGGGGAATGTGTTAGGCATGCTTGTTTTCATACCATAGAGCATTTTGAGTGGGTGGGCATCATGAGGAGAGTTGTCTACCTCTTGAAAGGCATTCCTCATGGACTAAATAAGCACTGAATCATATGTAGAAATGGCATCAAATTCATGGTGTAGCATACAATTTGAGATACCTTTTCAGGAGTGTATGAAGAGATGAAGAATATAGATTGATGTGGAACATTTTATTCAGCGTATGGTCTCTGTAAAACCTAAGTTTTTTCTATGAATTGTGTTGGCAATAAATAGGGTGAAACTGGCCAATGTTTCGAATGTAGTGAAATCTATTAAAACCCTGGAGAGGAACACATAAAATTATATAGAAGTCCTGTTTGTTTAACAACCTCATCGTTGAAGTCACTCTTGAGAGAGACATTTTCTATGCATTCAGAGGATCAAGAGCAAATCATGAGCCACTGCAAGAGTGAAAGGGACTACCAGAAGGAAGCTCAACTAGGTTTTTGTCATCAACATAATCGATATTGTAGTCTGGGCGTACAGCTGCTATTGCCTGTTAGTTAAAATGAATCTATGGTTTTGTAATTTCAACAATATAGCATTTTGAGGGATAAAATGGACAATTATCCATATTCAGACATTTGTCAGTTTAAAAAAAAACAAGCAGTCTTATTGATTTTGATTTTAGACTTCAGCACCACCGCTTATCAATCAGAAGTGAAATAAGATTTCCGACTTCAGCACCTCTTAAAAAACAAACAACACCTTGGAGATATATTTGAGGGTGTAAAAGCAACGAAGGTAAAGGACTTGAGGTGGGAAAGTGGGGCATTCAAGTTATATTTAACATTTTCCGATGACGACAAATGGTGTGATGCTTGAAAAGTCAGATTACAACTTAGGGTAGGTAATTGCCACTTGGTCGCAGGGCCTGTTATCATTGTAATTGTGATCACGAGTTAAAACTATCTACATTGAAGTTGTTTCTTAATTCTTGCATATTTTTTAAAACTTGTTATTGATAAAGAAGTTTACGTTTCGACACCGGCGAATATTTCATTAAGTTTCTAATTTTCTCAGGTGGCTTCCTCGTTGAACTCCTCCTATTGTTACATACTACACCGTGATTCTTCTGTATTTTCATGGATCGGAAATCTTACAACTCCTGAAGTCCAGGAACTTGTTGAGAGGCAACTGGATGTGATAAAGGTTTGAAAATCTTGCCAAGGGACTCTTCTTATTTCAATGCATACTTGAGCTCTGCAGATTTGGACATCTATATACCTGAGACTTGTTTTTCTTTGGATATCATTTTGTGATTGAAACCACAATCATTCAAATTATTCTTTCTATTTATTTTTTCTGAAAACCCATTGCTATATGGAGAATATATATTAGGGGGTTAGCAAGCTTGAGAATAGGTCCATGGATATGTAGATTAATTTTACATCAGGATTATCACAAAATGTCAATGAAATTAGCACCTTATCAAATTAAAGGTGTGATGCAGACAACATATCACAGTAATGTATTCGAGATGGCGTATAAAATCTGTTTTATCTAATCTATAGATAGAGCATGAGCATATACATATGTAGATTGTTGTAATGTCTCGTCTATTTTCTGTTAACTTAATGTTCTTTTTGCAACAATTTAACATATGATTTACTTGTGATGCACGATACTTGCAGCCAAATATGCAGTCCAAATTACAAAAGGAGGGTTCGGAGTCTGAACAGTTTTGGGAAATTTTAGGTGGAAAATGTGAATACCCCAGTCAGAAGATTGCAAGAGATGCTGAAAGCGACCCTCATTTGTTCTCATGCACATTTTCAAAAGGTTGAAGCGACACCTCTTGTTTATTCTCCATCCAGATTGTTTTGTTACTTGCTAAAAATATACCAACTAATTCTTTCTCTTTCGTTGCTTGTTTCTGTCACTTGTGCTGCTTCAGGAGATCTGAAGGTGTGTAATTTTCCCTTTCTAGTTCACAACGGAACCTTAATTGAGGAGGCTGTGATTGACTTAGATTTAAGTCCTTCCCCAAGCTTACATGATTTTGGTCATCCATGGTGAATGTGTTCAAATTCACAAATGTTAAAACAAGTCATAGTGTAAACATGTATGTTTTAAACACTCTTTTTTGTAGCTTTTTGTTTAAAAGAAAGTGGTTGTTAATAATGCAGGTCACTGAGATATACAACTTCAACCAGGACGATTTGATGACGGAAGATATATTTATCCTTGATTGTCACTCAAGCATCTTTGTTTGGGTAGGGCAGCAGGTTGATCAGAAAATTAAAACAGAAGCATTAGTTATTGGGCAGGTATGATTCAACCACCACCTTTACATTCATTATTTTGTTTTTCAGCTAAAAGTTGCTGACTTTGCATATGGCCGTGTAAATGATACTCTTTATGATAACTGCTGCATTTCATTGTTTAGCCTGCTCCATTTAGTTTTGGTTCAAGGCTTGTTGCTATTTGATGATTTGTTGATGTTTGGACTAGAGAGACGGGCTACACAGCTCCTATATTTTACTTTGTAAATAATGTGCCTTTAATTCTTATTAAAAATAAACCTTTGCTGTCTGAAACCATCTTTTAGAAGTTAGAATATTTTGTAATTTACTCATTTGGGACTGCAATTTATCAGAAATTCCTGGAACGTGATTTTCTTCTCGAGAAATTATCTCTTGAAACTCCAATATATATCATAACTGAAGGAAGCGAGCCACAGTTCTTCACTCGATTCTTCACATGGGATTCATCCAAATCTGCAGTAAGTGGTCACCTTGCAATTATAAGTTGAAGTAATTATATAGTATTTAGACATCCACCGCAGGGTAAACCACCGCCTCTCAGGACGAGTTTAATTTGTTAATATGGCTGCAGATGCATGGAAACTCATTCCAGAGGAAGCTATCTATACTAAAAAATGGAGGTCGTCCAACCTTGAATAATGTAAGTCATGTTTTTGTTTCTTCCTCTAGCATGCAATTTTTTTTGTTAAGGTATAAGATTCCCTTTGTCCGTTTCCTGGATTGTTTCATTTATCTTATTATTCTCTCTGGCTGTCTAGGTTCATTGAGAGTTTCCGATAATTGTGCAGATTAGTTTCCGTATGCAATTATGCATAGTTGTTTAATAGTTCTTGTTATTAGGGTCTTCTAGTTGTCTTTTATATTTTTATTCTTGGCCCATGAGCCGACAACATATGCATTATTTATATGGGGTTTCCCTTAGTAATAGATGCGAATTCAAGACTTCTGTTGTGGTGTTGTCATTTCTATTTTGACCAATTCAGCAGCTTTTTTGGTTTTGATCTCTCTTGGTAGTGAAATTATGGACTTCCATCGCTATACCTTAAACTCATCGTGATATTTACAATTTCTTGTGAGATTTTGTTAGATCATGATATTTTACATTTTGATGGAAGGATTTCATCTGATGGTCACAATCTATTTTTCTCGTTATCATGAGGTTCTTCTCCTCTTCTGTTTGATGGAAACCTAGTTACACTTCTGTCTTGGACCCTAGCCATGCCGCTGCCTCCACTTCCGTTTTCAATGTGATGGAACCCTTCTGGTGTGCCGCTGCCCTCTTCCTGTTTACCTGTTGTAGTGCTTACTAATACATAAACCATCACCTATTTGTGGGTTTATAGCTGCCAGAAACACCATTGACCCAAAAGGAAATAATGATGACCCAAATAGGCTAATCATTGTATAGTTCTGTGTCAATTGTCTTTTTTTTTTTTTTTTTATTACTTTTTGCACTTCTATTTTTTTATGCTTTGGGTCATAATTGCCACCCCTAAAAGTCATGCCAGGATTCTTTTTAGTTACTTCATCTCTTTCAGGTTTCAAGTATTCTGCTACTTGCATCGATCTGTTCTCTTACAGCGGTCTATTGTTAAACTTTTTTATGTCGGATATATTTTATATTTTTGTGATTTCTATGCTTACAACGAGAATCGTTTCATACCTTGCATCAAAATTCTTCATAATGGGAAGTCCAAGAAATACTTTTAATTTTTATATTTCCATGTCTGCAAATTTCATCACTACTTAGGTGGCTTGTACTTCACTTATTGATTGTGTTGTTTCCACTGTTTTGCTGAAATTCATAATAGTGCTAAATGGTTCTTCCATTTTCTTTGCTTGTAATAAGATGCTTGTTATATTGTTAGAAACCAAAAAGGCGAACACCTGTATCACATGGAGGAAGGTCTGTAGCGACCGAAAAACCACAACGTTCGAGAAGTGTGTCTTTTAGCCCTGACAGAGTCCGTGTGAGAGGCAGATCTCCAGCCTTCAATGCTCTTGCTTCCACTTTTGAGAATGCAAATGCAAGGAATCTGTCAACTCCTCCTCCTCTCGTAAGGAAACCTTATCCAAAGTCCGGTGCTACCGATTCCGCTTCTCGGTCCACCGCTTTAGCATCTCTAACCGCTACTTTTGAACAACCTCCACGAGAACCTCTCATGCCTCGTTCTGTGAAACGTAAGATATCTTTCATCATATTATAAGTAAATCATGAAAACAGCCTCTCTATTCTTTGGTGGTTGAGGTCAGATCTGCGTACACCCTCCCCCCCGGAGACCCTACTCTCGAGTGGGATTCACTTTTGGTTTGGTAAATTACAAGTAAAATCAAGTAAAAGACTGAAACTTGTTATTATATTGCATGTATAAAGCGAGGCCCAAATCGCCACCAAAAACTGATTCGAACTCGAAAGAGAACTTGATGAGCAGTAAAATGGAAGCCCTAACGATACAGGAAGATGTTAAAGAAAATGAGGTTGAAGATGAGGAAGGGCTCACATTGTACCCATATGAACGCCTTACGACCGTGTCCACCAACCCTGCTGCCGATATTGATGTAACCAAGAGAGAGGTATTGTTTCTGAACAATTTCTACATCCCTTTTGAGCTGTTGTAAATATATAATTCTGTTTTCTTTATGTCATTGACAACTTGCTTTCTGTAGACATACCTGTCCTCTGCTGAGTTCAGGGATAAGTTTGGAATGACCAAAGAAGCTTTCTACAAGCTGCCAAAATGGAAGCAAAATAAACTGAAAATGGCACTTCAGCTGTTCTGAGTTCTATGCAGCCTAAATTACAAAATTGTATGCCTTTTCTTCTCTCTTATACGTTCCACTGTCGTTACATCTTTTTAGAGTCCCACATTGGCTAGATGCGGACCATCAAACCTACACACACACACACACGCATACACACATTATGGGTGAAGTTCAAATGAGAACCATAAATATTTTGAAAACCCGGGAACCAAACTATTTCATGTACTATTCATCATGAATATCATGCACTTTGAATATGAATATCATGTATCTTCATTATAAATATCTATTACGACATTCATCGTTAATAAAACATGAATAGTTGGTTTCAGGCTCAAAATATTTATGGTTGCGCCTATATTTATGTAGGAATCTCTCCTCTCTACAAGGGTTCCTTTTAGAGAGATTTAAAGGGGTTCCATATGTTTCCTGGTTCTTCCTTTTTTCTTTTAAATGATTGACATACGTAATTCATGGCTTATTCTAACCGCAGTTTTATTAAAAAAATATACATATATATATATTTTGCAGTGGGCGGTCCAGTTTTTCGTGTTTTAGTGTGATAGTGAGAGCATCGGTGCATTTTTAGCTGCTTCTGCTCTCAAGAAGCTGGTTTTACGGTGGATATGAGAGTTAGAGTGCAAATTTCGGTTAACTCTACTTTCGTCTTGTAGCTTTATTCGTCCTTCATTATTTATTTATTTTTGTGTCGTCGTTTTATTATCGTCACAGGGTGGGTGTGAGCTTGCATATTTTTGGTTTGTTGTTTGATTATTGATTTCTAAGTGAGGGGTATTATTAGAGTTTGCAGATGCAGACACTTTGTTAGATTGTATTCTACTCCCAAGGGTGGAGATGTGTACAGGACAAGTGAGTGTAAGTTAACAGTAAAATGTGTGTTTTTAACTGTATTTATTATTCCTTCTCCATATATGACCAAACTTGTAATAACTTTTATTATATTTTATAAAATATTTGGGGGTCTGTCTGTCAATTATCAAAATCTGTGGAATTTCAGATACTTGCACCAACAGTTGCCATTAGGTGTTTTTATTCTTATGGTATTTTAAGTAGGATAAATTGTATCAAAATTAAATGTATTTTGGATGCCGTTTATCAAACCCTTTTTTTAGTGTTTATCGGTAACAGTTACCGCCCTTCCTTATTTTTTTGGGTAACCCGGTAAGTGCTTATTAGGTATGAGTTTTTTTTATTATTTTATATTATTTTTATATTATAATAATTATTATTTTTTTATATTAATAGTGTCAAAAACATTTATTTTATAAGAATTCATTAATTAAAGTTAATTTAATTATTTTATAATTATTTATAATTTTTATTTATAAAAAATGGAATTCCATTCCATTCCATTCCAAATCAATAACCAAATACTTCAAAGATTCAAAATCCTTCCAACACGAAATCCTTTCACGAGATCCAAATTTCTCAAAACCATTCCATCAAACCAAACGCTTCTTTGGTCTTTCCATCTTTTAACCAGTAGACAAGGAGGTGGATGTCCTTAAAAAATAAATAGGAGGTCTGAGGTTTCGGATTTTAGGCACATGACAACATCATACTCTTTGTAGAATGAAACGTATTTTATTTTGAAGAAACTAATTTTAAAAGCTTCATTTGAGAAATTTACTACATCTTTAATATAATTAAGATAACATAATATGTTTTTAATGCATAATTTTTTTATTTGAAATGTTTATCGACAAGAATAATAACTTTCACTTATCTTATCGGGTAACATTTTTTGTCATCAAAATGAATTTTGGGTAAACATCTTTTACCTGATAAAAGTCTTCTCTCTTACTTACTGGTAAGATTCTTAAGGGGGCTGTTTATCAGATTTTTCATTAAGTCATGTATAGATAAATTTGTCTGTCTGGATAAATGGGTGTTGTTGTTTACTTTTTTTTATCTGAACCAACAGTCTGAATAACATAAATGACCAATTTACCCCCGAATATTAATTATTTGAACATAAAAACAAAAAAAATCATAAAGAGGCCGACGATGGATTGTCTCATATGGGAAAGAGGCGGTGCTTTAAATAAGTGGTAGTGGTGTCATTTTTGTGGCTAAATGTGGACAACATACCATTTCTATCTGTGCGATTAAATCATGTTCTGTGCAAATAAGTCGTAAGTAAACAATCAAAATGAGCTACGCAAATAAATCAGACAGACCAATAAACCTAATTAAGTCACAAGTAAACAGCTCCTTAGTCCATGTTATGCTTCTTACAAAATAAGTTCTTAATCTTTGCCCCGCTAACGGATAAGGTAAGTGAAATTCGATAGAAACATACCCAATAAGCATTTGTAAACGTGGCATGTGTTTAATTTTGATATTCTTGATGAATGCTTATTAATTGAAATTAACGCCTTTTTATTTTATTTTATTTTTATTACGAATATATATTATATATTTATTTTATTCCTTAAATTCTGAATTAACTTGTCTTTAATGGTGTAAAATTCTTTGTATTTAATGAGAAAGCGCTGGTTTTATTTATTGGGGGAAGAAGTTCAACACTTCCGTATGAGATCAACTTTGACATATCGAGACTAGAGAGAGAGAGAGAGAGAGAGAGAGAGTTGTACACACAGTAGCAGTGTTTGTGTGTGTGTGATCGTGATCGAGAGATTCAGGGCTAGGTTATGGGAGTTGATGAATGATGGATGAGATGTCAACAATCGAGAACAAATCTATTGAGATCACTAAAGGCATCAATGGCCTAGATAAAGTCATACTCCGCGAAATCCACGGCAGTACTGTTGAGGTAATCGTACAAAAATTCTCTCAGATTTGTTAGTCGGCTGCAATTTTACTGTATATCTTGTACTTGTTTGTGGATGTTATGTTAGCGCATTGCCGATTGATTCGATCTTTTACTTATATGATCTACCTTATCAAACTGTAGATTTGCTTTAGGTTAGAATGTTCTCTGCAATTGAGATCTAGCGATGTATGAACAGGACTTGCTTTATCGAAGGAATTAATGTTTGGGTTCATTCACGTCTTTTTGTAGTATGTGTAAGTTTTCGTTGAACTGTACCTGGCAAATATTTAGATGATTATAGATTGTCGTATGTTATAGTGTACATATAAATTAACAACGAAATAAATCTGTAAATATTAGCTCGATCTTCAACCAGATCATAGCTTGCAATTTAAAAGCTAGAGAAGTACATTTTGTGCACTTCATGGAATTGCTACTCCACAACAACATATGGATGTTCAATAGTAATATTTGTTTGCAAAAACCGTTTTATGATCCTTCCTTTGACATCATAGTACATAATACATATTGACTCTTATAAAAGAGTTGTTACTTTTTTAGAATTATAACCTCTGATTGGAATTTATAATAGCTGACTTAAAGCTCTTGTAATTGTCCAAGTAAAGGGTGAGTCCCATGTGTCAGTTTGTTTTTGATCGGGAGCGGGGTGGCCAACTTCAGTCGGTGCTGGCGCCTGCGGCAGCGCCTCACTGGAGCCATTCAGATCCCCCCGTTGTTTCCTTTTCCTTCCGCACCTTTTCCTCAAAATGTGGAAGAAAAATATGCACGAGATGCGATCCTTAATAGTTCACTGTTGGCGGCAGCCAATGTCCTGGGGTCCTAGGGACTCATTCTGACTGAAACAAGGGATCTCCCTTTACTTTTTCTAGGGTAAAGTCCTCTTAAATGGATTACTAGTTCCTTCCTTCCCAATCAATGCTAACTCTATCTTCCTCTCTTGTAATTTAGGAGATTTCCCCRGCCCATAAAGAACTGTAGTTACATACAACTCTCAAGAAGGTATTATATAATAAAAAAAGTAAAGGCACATTAGCACTTCTTTTTCCAATAAGGGGCGGAGCTTGAAGAAGCGAGCCAAGGAACGAGATTAATACAGAGGTTAAACGAGCATCCCACACCCAAAAGGTGCCCCACATAGGTCTTCCCTGAAACCCCCCGTAATCATTGCCAGCAACACAACCGTTGACAAATCCGCCTTAGCCTTAGGTAGTTGATGCTAGCCACAGCGGTATACTCCAGCAAAACGGGTCGCCATTTCGCGGAATCAAACGCCCTAAGAGGGACCCAAATGAATAGACTATGAAGGTGGCTCTTAGCTACATAATCGCTCAAAATCAAATTAGCACATCCATTTTCTTGCTCGTTACCTTTTTGAATAGGTCTCCCCCCTTCAATCTACAAAGTAGGCAAGCAAGAATGAATAAGCGAGAGAGGGAGAGTGAAAGGAATTTCAAATAGCTTTCTTTAATTCCCTTTGGGGGCAAATACCTCCGATCTCTATCGTAGGTGCCAAAGAAGAATGAGACCAGGATCAGGAACCAATTCGAATTTTGATCTTGGCTTAACTAACAAAAGAAAAATGGAACCAGATACATTCTTAAAGGAATGCTCTTTTGGTTACACAATATAAAAAAAAAAATATAAATATGCGAACGAGCATAATATATGAAGCGAGTATAGAGCTAGCGAATGAGCGTAATTAATATATGAAGTGAACCATTATACCTCAAGCCACGACGAAACAACTCACGAGCTGATGACAGCCATGCAACACCTGTATGAAAGTAAGTACCATCCCTATAAACTTTGGAATTCAGTTATAGAGAAATTCAGTGAGAAGCTTTCAGGTTAGGCATTTCATTCATATAGGAAGCTCCCCTTCGAACTTGGTATATTTGACGCGAAAGTTTTTGCCCAATTCACCAAGGAATATTTTGGTTGCTTTTGGCGGATCGCTTACTACTAGGTAGGCGAGGCTAGCTTGCCGGCAAAAGGCGATCACCCACAATTAGAACCATCTAAAATAACGTATATGATGGATCCATTACGAATGTATCGTCCCAGAAGACCATCACTTTGGTCTCACTGATCGATTCTTTTAGACAAGTCGTTGGTCTTTTAGCATAACAACTCATGCCACCAACAAATGCTTCACTGTAGGACGTATATCCATGCCCGAGGCATAAAAGAAGCATTTTCCACGGGATCCCGAAACCACCGGCCACCCCGACCTGAATAAGCAGGAGAAAACCCACAAGCTTTTATCCGCACCATGGCCTGCAACGAGTGGCGGGGAGCCTTGACTTGAAGCATTGTACAAGTGCTCTCAAGCTTCTTGGAGACATTGGATAATTAGGAACTACGTATCGCCTCCTAAAGAGTAAGGAAGGTGTGCGAAGGTAGGCTCAAGCTAAGATTTTGCTTTATTCCTCTATCTAGGCCAACATTTATTCTAACACTTTCACCAGCAAGGGCAAAAACTTCAAATCATCCTCAGACATTAAGTCTTATGGAATGACTTTTAGTTCCCTTGGTAGGACACCTCTGATCGTTCACCTCTAATGTGCATAAACTGAAACATTCTGGAGCTACAAATATAGTTATTAAATACCTAGCACCTACAAAGATAGTTATTAAATAATTAGCACCGCATAAAAGCGCCCGATTCACCAAGGAATATTTTGGTTGCTTTTGGCGGATTGCTTACTAGATACGATTTCACCTTGCTAATGAGAAGGCAAAGGAGGCTTCCTCAATTTGTCTTTGCTTTAGCCTCATTCCTAGCTCTTATAGGCATTGACTCATCAAGTTCCCATTGAGATAGGATCCACACAAGGAAAAGCACTTGTCATTTGTTGGTTATTAGCGGCATCCCAAAAACGTCTGGGTCGAAATATGGCTTTCAAATTAACGCCTACTTATCTTTTGAATCCAAGACTTGTTGGAAAGCACCCTTCTCCCAAAGTTACGGGGTCATTTTCCCTAAAGGCAGTGATAGGAGAAGAAAGACTAGACTTTGAGASCAGACCTCCACTGGCGTTTTTGCAATGTCCTCGTAAATGTAAACAAACCATGCATTATGTCATATCTCTTATGTTGTAACATCCACGAGTTATATGTTCCAGAGAGATGTATTTTAGTCAACTTATACGTGATTTGGTATATATATGTGGAGGACTATGTCTCATTTTCACCTTCAATAGTACTTATAATGGGTTTTAACTGGAAAATACAATGGACTAATCTGGTGTCTTTTGAGTCCACAAAGAGGATGGTGAATTAGGATGTAAATACCATTTGTGTTCATGAAAATTGATATAGCAGATATTTGGATCCAACATGAGTTAGTGTTTTAACAATGGTTTAATTGATTATATATGCGTATAACAATGGTTAATTGAGATTACTGATAAGAAAGATAGCAAATGCATCAATTTAGAATGGGTGTGTTGGACAAGATTGTTTGAGAAAATTGGAGGTACACCTGAAAAAAAAAAATGCTAGTACGGCAGAAAAAATGCCATCAAATCTTACCAGATATATTATAAATTATGTGATATTATCCTTATATTGATATCCCACTACAATAAATAAAAATAATAGAAGATTCAACCTTTTTTCTATCTTGGGATTGTCTTTTTGGTTCATTCTTTATGCATTTTATGTTTCTTTTTTTATTGTTAACATGATCTGATTTGAAGTTAAGCTCATCCATGTCCTCACTCAGTGCTGAAATTTTAGCTCGAGACCATGGTCAATGAGTATTAAGCTTGACTCTTTCTCCTTAGCTTGAATTGATCATAGCTTTCAATGAGATTACTGCAATTCATGTGTATAAGAGGATGGGAACTTGATGAAATATATCAGTTGCAATTACGAATGAAAAATAGCAAAGTGTCAGTTGTGTTCTATTATCCCTTGGCTGTACAAACTTGCACTGTTAAATGAGTTGGATTCTTTATGTTGGCAACATATCAAGTTAATAACATTTGTGGTCGTTTGATGGAAGGTCTCTAAAGTCTAAGCAAACCTGGATATAAATAGGACAAGTTTGGTCCCTATGCTAACTAAGTTTTATTTTTTGAAGTCAGTGTGGAATATATGAGCTATATTTCATGGCTTTCATTTAAAATTAAAGGCACCAATTGGGAAACTACTGAAAAACATTATATTGCATCTGTTAGTTTGTGCTTCTGAACATTGGAACCATTACAAATTGACTTATCTTGGCAATCATGACACCTCTGTTTTCAATTCTGTTGCATATGGGGTAGATCTTCAAATGTAAAAACCTTTTTTTATATGCAATCACCCTATGGATAAGGCTATGGCATCATTGGGTACTATATGGGAACCAATTTAATGTTTGAAGCAATATTACTGCATTCCATTTTAATTATATTAGTATTGCTAGCAGTCCCAATCACAAATTTTTTATACTAAATGGAATTGCTTGAAGAATATATGGAATTATATTTATAGATAGGTGGTGTATTGATAAGCTTTATGCCAAATTATGATGTCCTTGAGGCTTCTCCTGGATGTGCTAAGTTATTTCCACTATGGTTCTATTAGGGCAAGGAGGCTTTAGTGTTGGCTGGTAATGTAGGTTTTTTATGACCTCAAAAAATTATGGGATTGGTAGGTGATATCATTATTTAGTACTCGGTTGAAAAATAAATGCTACCAATTTTTGAAAGTTATATGAAGTCATTTTTTATTACTAATTTTCCGTTCACATTTTTCACCTTTTCATATCGCAACCCCATTGATTTTTCATTGTCAAAATGTAGCTCTTTATGGCTATATTTTGGTTTGAGATGCCTCTTGGGTATTTCTATTGGTGGTCTAAACTTCCAATGCTCAACGAGCTCCTAAAAATTGAATAAAAGAAAAGTAAAACAAGTGGCCATGTGTTGCGTACTTTTTGTATCTAACCATAGTTGTAGATGAATATGTTGAATGTATAATCATGCAGGCTGGGTTTCTCGATAATAATGTAGTTTAACTTTCAACATATCTGAATATTTTGCATCCATAAGGCTCTTTAACCTTTCTGTTCTTGCAGGTATATCTGTATGGTGGTCATGTGACATCTTGGAAAAATGAGCATGGAGAAGAGCTACTTTTTCTCAGTAGTAAGGTACCAAGTACCAACTACCCATAATTCTGTGTCGATGAATGCTTTTATACTCCCATTTATTAGGGCTGTAAACGAATCGTACGAACACGAACAGGGTTTGTTTGTGTTTGTGCGTTTAACTTCTCCCGAACAAACAAATGAACACGAAAAGGAACAAATTTTCTTGTTCGTGTTCATTCGCTAAGATGCTAAACGAATACACAATCCTTATCTATCACCATCTATCATGAGATCATTAGTAAACAACATATTAACTACTAAAACTTTAAAAGAATGGGAGGTAACTACTAAATTACATCATTTTACCTAAGAGATCAACATTATCATCAATTATTTAAAAGAAATATCATATGTAACGAATTTAAACGAACTGTTTACCGAATGTTCATAACGCATGAGACCACTGTTTGTTTAACTAGAAGAACTTTCCACCATATCGTTCACATACGGTTCATTAAATGTTTGGTTCATTTACAGCCCAACTAGTTATACTAATTAATGGGATAAGATCACTTGTAATCTGATCTTTGTTTTTTTCTTAGCACTGGAGTCCTAGTGGTTGATTCGAATAATGTTTGTTATGAGAACTACCTATTGCCAGCTTTGCATATAGGAGTTGATATACCTGAGAGTCTGAGAATGGCGTTAAAGCAGGGAATATAAATATAGTGCCTTTTTGGGAAACTTTTCCTCTCTTTATATATATGTGGGAGGGTAGAAGAGGTATGTCATAGATGCAACACCTGATTTTGTTGTTCTGAAATGTGATATATGGGAAGAAAGAAAGGTGAAGCTGCCTTCCAAATTTAGCCTCTTGATGACAGAGAAAGTAGCTTCTCTTCAATGATGTTATGCCTCTAGTTGGGTCATGCTAATATTTTCTTCCTAGTATACAACATCCCTGATAGACATCATAGAGTGGATAGCTATAATGGATGTCCAGTATGCCTAGATCCATGAATGTGAACAAATGAAGGGGCCAGGTATGGTAAATGTGGTGACATGCCTTTTCTTATTCAGTTACCTTTTATCGTCTTTCTGTGAACAAGTTCAGACATATGCATGGAGTGTTTGTGAAACCCCAATTAACCATTCAAGTGGTACCATCAAGTGTATAGCTCGAGTAACATCCAGCCCAGCCCCAAGGTGTAATAACTTGGAGGTTGCGGCCTAGAAACCCCCTGCGCTTTCCGAATTCAAGATTACAAAATTGCTCTGTTGGCAAATCACATAGTTTTTAATCTATCCAGAGATTTGTCTCACTCATTTCCATATCTAAAAGTGTTGTACCTTCTTATTTTTTTGGTAAATTTTGTTACTTCCCTCAAAAGGGTTTTCTTTGTTTTTCTCATCATATCTCCGGGGTTGAGAGTGGTTTATCCTCTGTGGGTTTTAATTTATACTTTGAACAGCTCTTTGTACATTGTGTTTTCTTCTTCAGTCATCCAGAAATGTATGTGTTTTCGCAGGCAATCTTTAAGCCTCCAAAGGCAATACGTGGGGGTATTCCTATATGCTTCCCGCAAGTATGTCTCTCTTATCTTTTTTTTTTTTTCTGTTCAAATTCACTGTTTTGGATTATCCTAGTCATGGACACCTGCTTCCTTGATGCAGTTCTCAAATCTAGGCTCTCTTGAAGCACATGGATTTGCTAGAAACAGAGTATGGATCATAGACAATGATCCCCCTCCTTTTCCTCCCACTGTCACCAATAGAGTTTATGTTGATTTGTTACTTAAGCCCACTGAAGAGGATTTGAAGATATGGCCTCACAGGTAGGTCTTATAGAAGTTTGAAGCTGTTGTGTCTACTAGACGATCTGATCAGAATGCTCGTAAATTCTTTGTGGATAGATGATTGTGAAGTTCTTTATGTTGTATACTTTGTCTGTTTATTTCTAACAGATAATTTATTCTGTGTGTATGTCTTATCGCTGCTTCAATTCCAACTCTTACATTCGTTTGTAGCTTCGAGTATCGACTGAGGATTACTCTTGGACCTGGAGGAGACCTGATGTTGACATCTCGGATCAGAAATACCAACACTGACGGGAAGCCATTTACATTTACCTTTGCATATCACACCTATTTTTCTGTTTCAGATATCAGGTAAATTGGTTTAAGACCATTCACTTGATATCCTATGACAGACTTGATGCATTTGGGGTGAAATATCATATATTATTGTTAATGATTCATTTGTGTTGCAATTCTGTGTTCATTTTGCAAGATAAGAATTAGTATTTTCTTATTATAACTCTTGTGCTAAACTTTTACTTGGACAATACTACATAGATATGAAACATCATCCAACATGTAAAGACCATAAAGAAGTTCATGCACTAATGTGGTAAATCTGTGTTCTTGGATATTTTGTTTCTGATGACCAAATTGATAGCTTATTTATTAAGTCGCAATAGTTTTGGATCATGCTTGTTGAGTTGGCTATCCTCTAATCTATGCTTTCATGTCTTATTCGAAGGTGCGAGTTTGCCTCTAGTGAGATGCAATACACATTTCATGAGATTCTGGATATCTTCTGCTTGGAGAGTATAAATCCAATGTTGGTTATATAAAGGATCTCACATAAATAGTCAAACGTGCATCATCTTCTCTAAACTTTGACCTCATTGCAAGTTTGCTTCAAAGTTGAATTCCTTGCACGTCTATTCCTTAAAATGAGGAACCCAAAAAATACCATCAAATACAAACCAGTTTAGATCTGCTCTTTTCTTACATCACACCTTTAACCACTTTTCATGAGCACGTCATTTTTACCCATTTACTGATAGAAACCTTTTTGTTATAATGTATGATTTTTTCTTGAGGATTTTTGATCATTTTGTGTAACCTTCTTTAATTTATATAAGCAATTTAAGGTTTTGGACCAACTTGTAATGGGTGGAATTCCAAATATTTATCTAATTTGAGTTGGAAGCCTGTATCTTATACCGTTGAAGGGACATTCTGTTATCCTTTGGCACTTCATATTTGTAAATTTTTGTCATGGGTTTAATTTGGTCTTGGCCTAGTGTTAGCTGCATCCTTCAACCAACTGGGTTTTGTGTACTCTAAATGTTAGTAACAGGGGATGCATATCTTTTTATGCTTGAGATTCATCTCCTTCGCACCCTTTGGTGAATTTGTCTTGCTTAAAAAAGAGAAGTTGTTAAGAAACCTCTGGAGATCAGAATTTAAACTTTTAGTAAGCTAATGATAATAAATCTATATGTAGTATGCAGGTTTTCATACATTTAGGTGTGTCATCAGCATAAACCTGCCCTAAACCTTTGTGGCCTTGTAGCCCCAACTTCCCCAAAACCCCTCATCTTGTGCCAATCCTGAAAACTGGTATCCTGAGAGCATAGTGGTGGCAGTACTTCAGTGTAGGAATCCTGTTCTTTCTGCATTTCTTTTTGAGCCAACCAATCTTGCATGACAAGTGATGATAACGGCTTAGCATATTATTCACAATAAAAATAATCAACAGATTTGAATAAAAGTGCATTATGGATTGTACAAGACACCAAGTGGGATTTACTTATATTTGCACAACAATATGATCTGAATTCTGAATCATGCAACTTATCAAGACAATTAGAAAGGGAAACACGTCCTTACTGAGACATGCTGCCAAGTTTTCCTTCTCAGGTGACTTAAATCATCTGATTTTATTATAATCCAAAAGCCTTGGAGTTCTATACTCTGGTGTGAAGAGCATGAAGAAAGGCACGATGCTCCCTGAGAGTAGTATGGCATAATACAGTAAGAGTAAAAACCAATAGAGAGAGGGTGTTCTAGCCTTCTAGGGGATGCAGAGAGCTGTCAACAATGAGGCACATATTTTTGTCTTGGTTATGATTATTGATGATTCAACTTTCAAACAAGCTTGGGCATGAAAGTTGATGAGAGTGTATCAGGGGATGGGAGGAGATGATGAAGAGGAAGTCGCTTAAGTTTTCCGTTATTGTACTCTATTTAAATCTGATCCTTTAGTTTAGTGCTTGGCATGTGGTTTAGTTTGAGGTTCTCATCGGAGATTCTCACTCTTTTGTATTCAAGGGAAGGGGGTTGCTGATAAGATTCGGATGAGTTAACTTTTTGTAGATCATGTTATTTATTATTTTTCTAATATGAATAATATGATTAGTTTGAAAATATTTTATGAGAAAGATGCTTATGTCTAGGTTGATTATGTTGATGGCAATTAACGATGGTAAGTTTGGACCTATTCCTTGTTGCAATGACATGAAACAATCAGTTAAAATTCTTCACGTTCTCATTTCTTTTTCATTTTACCAACTATCTAGTAGGATCAATGGTGATCTGTTTCTAAAGAAACCATCTTAATTTTCTCCATCCAGTGAAGTTCGAGTGGAAGGATTGGAGACACTCGATTATCTTGACAATTTGAAGAACCGGGAGAGATATACAGAACAAGGGGATGCAATAACCTTTGAATCGGAAGTAATTTTGTTATCTCCTCTCTTATTTTGATAACACTTTGCCATGGTTAGGCTTATGTAGTGTTAATTGTTTTACCCAGGTTGACAAGATTTATCTCAGCACACCAACAAAGATAGCAATTCTGGATCATGAAAAGAAACGAACATTTGTCATTCGGAAAGATGGACTTCCTGATGCTGGTGAGATTGTGCATTTCTGCTTAAGATTTTTCTATGCCTTTAGAAGTTACTCTTGAAGTAGATCAAATCAGAATCATCCTATTTTACAACTATACCATGTTGTTGGTGAAATTTTGTTCAAAGTACGACATAAGTAACAAGATAATGTGCTATTTTTGTGTGTCCATAATAGTGGTGTGGAATCCATGGGATAAGAAGGCAAAAACCATCGCTGATCTTGGAGATGATGACTACAAACACATGCTTTGTGTGGAGGCAGCAGTAATCGAAAAGCCCATTACATTGAAGCCTGGTGAAGAATGGAAAGTGAGGCAAGAACTTTCAGCTGTTCCTTCGAGCTATTGCAGTGGGCAACTCGACCCTAATAAGGTTCTCCAGAGTGGTTGAAGAAACATAGGCTGATCAATATCATGTACAGGTATGCTAGCTGAATCCAATTACATCATGCCACCCCAGAAAGCTCAGTGCTTGCATTAGTTGATTGTGTATTACAAGAAACCATCAACCACTTGCTGTGATCGGTGGTGTGTGTGTGTGTATATATATACATGGAGGATCAAGTAAGAAAAGCGAAATGGTTGAGAAACATATGAATAAATGATTCATATGTAGATCATTGATAGAAGGAAACGTGGCTTCACATATGGATCTTCATATGTGAATAACTGGTAAAAAGATAGGTAAGTGAACATGGGTTCACATGTGTGCCACAATCTTAATTAGCCTCCTATCGAAGGTTGTTGCATAAATGATCTGAGTTAGTTTGATCACTTCACGAGTCGACTTCAGTAATGTTTCATGATCCAAATATACAAAGCGTAATTTCATTTCAGCATCAAGATCGATATCAGAACTGGCCAACTTTCCAATATGCTAAAAAGAAAAATCCATATTTTTTATACTTCAAAAAAAAAAAGAAAAATCCATATTTTAGTAGTTGTGATTTGAGGCTTTTTTATGTAGCCACTCTCACTCGTGCGACTCTCTTTAATGCAGGTCTGTGGTGAAAGCAAAAAGCTCATGCCAGCTCTTCTGTGAGTCCTATTTTTCTTGTGTAAAATTTTCATTACATTGGTTAAAATGGTTGAACTCTTTTGAGCAGAGAAGTTGTCAAAAATACCATTATTCACTAGAAACTACTGATTGTAATGGATGGCCAAAGAAGCATAAAGAGATGGTCATGTTGTGGTTTTGATAAAACAATGTATTCTAAACACAAGTACTTCAAAGACGATTATGTCTTTCTTTCTACTAGATTTAATAGCCTTATTCTATCATTCACTCTGATTGGATGCAATTAACACTTTAAAAGTGTAAATAGGGACTGGTCTAGTGGTGTTTTGAAGGCTTGAGATTGTTGGGTTTGTCCATTATTAGCCAGAGATAGCATGTTAGATGCAATATGAATGACATGAAAAGTTTGATTGATGCTGGATTCATGTAACTAATTAGTTTATGTATAGATTAGGATGGTATCATGGTATGCTAATATTAGTGAAGGTAGTGCATGATACGTTCATCCTGCCCCTGCCCCTGCCCCTGCCCCTGCCCTTTTGATATGAAAGACGTGGTGTCACTTTGGAGGGAGATGGTATAAAGTCTGTATTTACGTTGGTGGGGTTGATATACACATACACAAAGGATCGTGTAAGAATAGGAGTTAAAAGTGAGATGTGTAAGAAGGGATTTGAACTCTTGATCACTTTTAATACCAAAACAACACACCTTCCTTGTCCTTGGCTCCTTGCATTGTGATTGTCAAGTATTGCAAAGAGTTAAGCCTTTCAATGGTAAGAATAGACACATCAGTTTGCCGCAACTGAAGGATGTCATTGATTTTATGAAGTCAGAAACAGATCCAGATGATAGCCTTCGGCTATAGGAGGTTCATTAATAAAAACAAGGGGAATGAAACTTACCATTCCTTGTCCTACTCCAATCTGAAAAATTAATAGTGATGATAGGAGTCCCCAAGAATAAGTTATATATATATATATATATAGAGAGAGAGAGAGAGAGAGAGAGAGAGAGAGGAGTAATCAAATGAAAACCACTCCAATTTGTAAAAACCGTAAAAACTGCTTTCATCCGTCGATTTCATTGTTTAATCTTATGAAATTTTTTCATGAAATTGTTTGATCTTGTGAAATTGTTTCATATAATACTTTTTTTGATGAAGTTGTTTCATATATGGTTATAAAACTGTTTCATATTAATGAAATTTTAATGAAACTTTTTCATGTATTTCTCTAAAATTAAAATAATGAAGATAATATCCATGATTAACATCCTCCACAATAAAAATGATTAATCAACCTCTCATAATAACAAAAAAATGAACAAAATGAAAAAATTATAATTGGTGGAATGAGGTTTTTACAAATTGAGTGGTTTTCATTTGATCGCTCCCATATATATATATATATATATATATATATATATATATATACTTGGGATCATGTGAGACCAAGGGTTTTTCATGAGACCCGTAAGACCAATTTTTAACCCTTAAATTAAATCTACAATCTGAACATTCATAATCACAAAATTGCCACAAAACTTTTCAATAATCACAAAATTGTTACCGTACAACTTTAGACCATTAGATCATTAGCGTATAAAGTTGATCAATGAACATAAATTGGTCTTACGGGTCTCACGAAAAACCCTTGGTCTCACGTAAACCCAACCATATATATATATATATATATATATATATATATAGAGGGATGTTATTCTACACCCTTTGCCATTCCTACACTCTATACAACCCTCATCTCAACCATTCAATTTTTAATCAATTAATTGTTTCCTAATATAAAGTATTAATCATAATTAATAAACTCTATTCATATTCCATAAATATTCAAATAATAATAAATGAACTCCAATCATTTTTATAAATATCTCAATTAATTGGGTTGCAAAGGTTGTACAAATGCACAAGGTTGTAAAAGAAATATACCCTATATATATATATATATATATATAGGGTATATATAATATATAAAGGTACCGAACTTTGTCTATACAAGTCTCAAATGAAACAAAAAGAAAATGTCATCTCAAAATTTTAACTCATTTTAGTTTCCAGTGACTTGTTATTTTCTTTAAAAGGCAATGGCTTTCGGTTTTAAAGGGTAGATAGATAAACTGAATATTATTCAGTAAAAACAAAATGTTGATCATCTGAAATCAACCTTTCTTAACAATCCCCATGTTTTAAATCCACAAGAACAAAGTATTGTTGTAAGAGCTGTAGATTACAAGCAGCACATGGAAAGCAACAACCTCTAAAGGATTGGAAACTACGTTATGGGAAATGTTTTACATGGCTTTTTAAAAGAAACAACCATACGCAGTAATTAATAATACTCAGAAATACCAGTTTCGGGGGGTTATGTCCCCCGTCTTTTCAGATATCATTTTATCCAAGACCACCTACTAGTCTCATAATAAGTTAAAAAGAACAAACAAAAACAGACCCCCCTCACACTGTGTAATGCTGTTGAATTGTGTCAATGTCCAGCCCCTTCAGCTTCACCACCGACTCAACGTGCCCCTTCAGCGTAAGCACCTCCCGAAGCCTGCACATCACCACCTTCCTTAATAACACACTTAAAAAACCCAACCCAGTTAATCCCACACCCAAGCAAGGTCAAGGGGCTGTATTCGTGAAGACCCCGGCTTGTAAAACCAAAAATCAACTCAAACAATAGAGCAAACTACGGCTACATGTATGTAATAAAAACAAAATTAACTACCAATGTTTTTACCATTCTTATAAAACATTAACATTACCTTGCCACTTCAGCGCGTCTCTTGGCCTGCTCTGCGATTTCAGACAGTTCCCTGTAGCTGCTCTTTTCATTGAAGATGTTTGAAGTTTCTGGTGCTTGAAGCCCGTGTAACGTCCTCTGAGCAAGAGCCCATTGAGCCTCTCTCTCTTCTCTTCCATAGTCTTTCTTGGTCGTGAAAGCAGTCTGTTCCAAGATCCATCAAGGGCTTTTAATGTCTAAACTACGTCCACATCAATCGAATTTTTCAACAACTAATGAAAGAAAATCAATGTACCTTGTTTTCAAGCAAGTTGAGCCAGGCTTTCCCACTAAGGATGTATCGAATAGCGAATTTCATTAGGTCCAATGGGAAGTAGAACACGATACTGTATAACCAGATGACACCGGCCCATCCCCACCCTACTCCTTTGATTCTTGCGAATCCCCACTCTGCATATACTGCTATTAGAGTTGCAACCTGAAATTTTTTCATGTTATTTATTGGTTTTTGGTTCATTCATCAGAAAACAATGTTTTGAAGCATTAGTTTCTTTACCAGTTGTGCTGCTAAGAAGGCACCCAACAACAACAGACCAGGACGTTCAACAAACGACCAGCTGCGAGAACGGGTGACGAAAATAAGAGCCTGGCTCACTATACTGACTTGGAGATATAAAGCAGCCATCATCTCGACTTCACTGTTTCTGATAGATTTCACACCAAATGTGTCCTGCGTCACAGAAACATAAAATGAGTGACGAAAAAAAAGGGCGACACTTGTATTTTCATTCCATTTCATTAATTTGTGACTTACTGAGAAGAAGTTGGTGTCCTTCATGATCCAGAAGAATATAACGGTCATCAATGCTAGGTAACCTCCAAGCACAATGCCAGTGGCAAAGATCTCTTTTAGTTTCCAGCTATCGGGTAATGGAGATGGTTTCACCCTATCCTTTGAGATTGTCATGATTGTTCCTTAAGAACATAAAATCAGACATTAGTAAAAGTATATTCTTTTCTTTTGATTTTTTTTCTAAATCAAGAGTAATAGAAGCAAAATCTCACCATCATTAAGGATGGCAATAATCAGAACCATGAAGGGAGAGAAGTCAAACTTCCATATCAAAGCAATGAACATAAACCCAAACTACAAAAGGCGTTTATCAGATGTAGCAAGTTAGGCGATAAACTGGGGAATTATAAATTCATAATCATAAGTGTAACAATTCAAATGTCACCTACAACTTACCACAATACGAATGGTGATAGAAACAGCATAGATCTGCAAAAAGAAAAGATGTTAACAAATAGAAGCTTTTTTCATCATTACTGATTGAAGGCCAGGGGGAGAGGAGGAACTAACGGTGTAATTCTTCATTCTCTGGAAAATTGCTCTACTGGTAAGCACTGCACTGATGATGACACTGAGCCCAGGCTCGGTAAGCACGATGTCAGATGCACCTCTTGCAGCATCTGTAGCATCAGCAACCGCAATTCCAATGTCAGCCTTCTTCAAAGCAGGGGCATCATTCACACCATCTCCAGTCATCCCACAAATATGCTTCCTCTCTTGTAACTTCTTCACAATCTCATACTTGTGTTCTGTATATTTAGATCAAAAGATTGAAGTTTATTCATTTCAAAGAAGATAGGTTCATCAAGAAATCAGTAGAATGAAACACCCACCTGGGAAAACTCCAGCAAATCCATCAGCTTTCTCAATCAACTCTTCAACAGGGAGTGCTGCAATCGATGCATCCTTGTGGCCACCAAGCAAAGAAGAAGAAGGATACATGTTTGTTCCCATACCAAGCCGTCTACCAGTTTCCTTGGCAATGGCAAGTTGATCACCTATACAATGATTGATTAAAGCAGGCATGATTTAGGTACGATATAAGTGAAAAAATTGTTCCACAATCAGGAGATATGATTACCAGTGATCATCTTGACATTTACACCAAGATTGAGAGCTCTGCGAATGGTCTCAGCACTGTCATGCCTTGGCGGGTCAAAAAGGGACAACAATCCAACAAATTGCCATGCAGCACCTGGGCTGTCTTTTGATTTTTCGGGCACTTCCTACAAATTTATGAACAAGGAGAGTAAGTAATCATGGTCCAACAGAAATGCTGAAGGTACGAACATATCAATCACACACAAGAAAACAGAAATGCATGTCTAGTGCATACAAAGTACAGACCTGTCTTGCAACAGCCAAAGATCGCAACCCACGTTCAGCAAATTTATCAATCATTGCATGAACTTTCTTCTTGAGATCTTCTTTGCAGCCACAGAGGGTCAAAATCTGATTCAATATTAAAGAGAATTAAATTTAATGACCAAGTGTTCATGAGATGAGGCACGGTGTAGGACGGAAAAGTGAAAAGTTACCTGTTCAGGAGCACCTTTGCTTGTTCTATGCCAGTTGCCACGCTCATCGATGTAAGTCAAAGCTGTTCTCTTGTCAACAGGGTTGAATGGGAGAAAATGGACCTCTCTAATGCCAGCTCGTGCCTACACACTCATTCATGTCATCCATAAGACATTTTTCTCCATTTCTAACTACCAAGAAAATAGATTTAGGAAGAGATACCTCTTTAGGATCAGCAAGGGTTCCAACAATGGCTGCATCAATAGCATCCTGGTTTTCAGTCCTCGAAGCCATTGCAGCAAAAAGCAACACCTGCTCCTTATCCACACCTTTGGCAAACACCTCGATCAAATTTTTATCAACAGAAAGCTTGTTAAGGGTCAGTGTTCCTGTCTTATCACTGCATAGGACATCCATTCCAGCCATCTCTTCAATTGCAGTCATTCTCTTAGTAATGGCACCCTGCTGTGAAAGCCTATGTGATCCAATAGCCATGGTCACTGAAAGAACAGTAGGCATTGCAATTGGGATTCCTCCAATAAGCAGGACCAAAAGATTATCAATTCCTTTTCTGTACTCTCTGTGTTGGATGGGGTACATGACAACTATCTCAACCAACATTCCGACGGCAATGGAGCAAATACAGAAGTTCCCAATTGCAGTGAGAACTTGTTGGAAATGCCCAACTTGGTTGGTGCTATCCACAAGATGTGCAGCCTTCCCAAAGAAGGTGTGAACCCCAGTGGCAATAACAACAGCTTCAATTTCTCCTTGCTTGCAAGTTGAACCGGAAAACACCTCATCATAAGGATTCTTGTTCACAGGGAGAGATTCACCAGTAAGGGCAGATTGGTCAATCTTTAAAGGATCACCTTCAAGAAGACGGGCATCAGCAGGAACGATATCTCCAAGTTTGATACTGATGATATCTCCTGGAACCAAGATGGAAGCTTCTTGCTCACTCCATCGACCATCCCTGAGAACCTGCAGTGAAAACACCATGGAAGGTGGGATATTATTAACATTGAAACAGAGTGGCATCTATTTGGAATGGAGTTGAAAACACCTTTAAGTTGAAAAATTGATCTTTTTAAGTCAGATTACTAATTCTATTCACATTTAGCATACCCAGATGATAACTACAAATTTCTCTTATCAATAATCATTCAATGTTAAGGATGCCCCAACTTAGTACCTGCTGGAAGCTAATACCCTCTGTAATCAACTAGATGAATACACATCTTGAAATGGAAAAGTTAACATCAACTACTTTTTACAACCAAACATTTGCACAAAAAAAAAAGGATAGTGTGAAAGGCATAATATGACAAAGTACAGCATCCTCTTCCCATTACAAAAACGTAAACTTCTTTTCTTTTACAATGTTATCCTTCCATGTTTCAGTTTTTAGCCACCTTCCATTTCAAAAAAAATTGTCCTGCCGCCTACATGAGAAGAAATTCTCTATTAGTAAATTATAGAATACCTTGGTTTTAGGGGCAAGGCCAGCCATAAGTGCAGCAGCAGCATTTCCAGCATTGTTTTCCTCGATAAAACTGATGGTTGAGTTGATAACAAGCAGGCAAACAATACCGACAAAGTCTTGCCAATCTGGTGGTTTTCCACCTCCATTAGCCAATGCAATTGCCATAATAGCTGCAGCTTCCATGACCCATGATAGAGGATTCCACATAAACCCAAGAAACTTGAGTAATTTGCTTTCCTGTTTTCAAATAGAAAAGAATATCGTCAACCATTTCAAAGTGAAGCTACTAACGGGAACCGACTAAAGGTTGATCATGATTGAGGATACCTTTTTCTCCTCCAATTTGTTAGGTCCAAAAATTTGAAGCCTCGTGGCTCCTTCATCTGAACTTAGACCTTCTCGGTTACATTTCAACTGTTCAAAAACCTCCTCAATCGGTACTTTCTCCTGTAGGTGAGAGAAGAAAAATCATCAGAGTTCAACTCCACTATAATTCTAAAAGAACTTGCAAGAAAAACAGTCTTGGACAAAGTCATGATTCTCTTAGCTACTTGTGTCATCAGGTAACTGAACACATCAAGCAAAAACAACACATGCTTAACAAACATGTAAGATGGAAACTCATTTAGTTTTGGTAAATGCTAGAATGACAAAGCACAGCCCAATTATGTTACATTGACTTGTACCTCGTGCACTAAAAACGGTATCATGCAATCAAGTTGGTCATTGTGGCACTAAGAGAAAAGATTAACCTGAATTTACATGCCTCTATTAGATTAGTTTCAACAGTAACATTTGAACCTCATAATTTTAAGTGAACAAAGACACGAAAATAAACAAGTTCAAATAATTCAATTAAAAAACATGACCAAAAGGGTCAAATAGAATAAGCACAAAGTTGCTTTATATTACCGTATTGTTTATCTTTACTTTAGTTTTATTCTACGATTTCATGTTACTGGCATCGGGTTCTAATTATTATGACCCAACAAAGAAAAGCAGGAAAGAGAATAGTGGTCCACTAAAAACAAGAACAATTTTATTTTTGAATTGGAAAAAAATAAAATAAAAGAAAACTGTAGTGGAAAACCAAACTAGCTACGGAAGGCATTAGCGGTTTAGTACTTTCTCCTAAGCTGCTTTGGACAGACACATGGAAATGGAAACCAGAGAGACATGCAACATGCCTAACCATCCTTTGTTGGTCAGGTTTGGCATACATCCAATCCCCCACATCACACTACTTTAACACCCAACATACACTTTAGTTTGGGAGGGGGAGATGTGACCAAAATTCATGACACCACTTCATCAACATAATCTCTTGTTCTTATTGCTTTAAACCCCCATGTGAAAAACTACTATATAGATAAAGATGATCGTAAGACACTAGTGATTTGAGGTATCACTAGATGGCAAAAACATAGCCCTGGAAATGTTTCCTCATTATTAAACAAAAAATAGTTGGATGAACAACAAATAATTTAATTTCTCTTTAGAATTAATCACTATAATAAAATGATTCAATTTTAATGCACTATTAAAGATTTTTGATTTTAGACTCAACTACAAGTCTAAGGAATTTATTTTCTTTCATATTACGAAAATCATAAATAAAAGGCATCTTTTCCTACAAAGAACCGTTGCCATTAACATAACATGTACTTTATAAAAAAAGTAATTATATAAAATACCAGCTTTATAATAAACAAATTTGTTGGTTAAAATATCACAAAACATTATTTTTATTTTATAGTGGATCAGTTATATTTGCGAATGACAAGAATGACTTCTTCCTCCGCATATAGATAGTTATTCCTTTGCTTTTAACAATTATAAGGAAAAAAATCATTTCTGAACAAATTTATTAAATCTTTAATACAACAATATTAAGTTTTATACTTTGGAAGCCAAACCTCATATTATTATATCATAGTTAATTGTTCTTAAAGAGTGAAAGGATTAATGATGTTTTCCTTGCAAGAAAACAAATATTGAATAACACAAATAAAGAGGTATTCACATGACTAAAGACAACAGACACAAGGGACATGGATAGTTGAGTAACGCAAGTTGACTTTCCACTTAACTCAGGGATGGAGGGACCCAAATGGTCTTCTAATTTCCATCCATTAAAAAGGCGGCACCTTGGCTAAAATAACTATGCCAAAGAGAAAGAAACGGGTGGGTGTCACTCACGCACCGAATAAGAAAAAGTCCAAAAAGCCAACCAAACCACACGAGAAAGCAAGGGTACATCGGGAATTCCGTGCCACAAAAGGTGGGGTGGGGAAAAAGACCATATTCGCAAAAAAAATAATACAAGAAAACAAAAGGCAACAGAATATAATCTTTGATTTTATATATGATTTTAAAACAATTCTTAGTTAATTATTTGTAACTCAACAATATGTTAAGGTTACTTTGAATAAACCATCTTTATTGTTGAATAAGTTCTCTATTAATTTCATACTCATAAACATCAATATCAACAATTTTTTATTTGTTTCCAACGTAAAGATTAACTTCCGTTAACTCAAAAAAAGATTTCATTTAACGAAATATATTTTATATATAATAAAGGGTCTTTGTGTGTTAGTTTATTGGTTGCACTTACCGTATATAAAATATATTATATACTTAAAAAAACATATATTTTATATAAGTTTTAGGGGGTGTTTGAGATTGCTTATGAAAATAACTTATTAACTTATTTCAGTGTGACACCGGTAATAAGCACTTTTGAATGTTTAGATAAACAACTTATACCGATGTCAAACCAGTAATAAAAAGTTTTTGAAGAAGTTAAACACTTCTGACTTATAATAAGTTATAATTGCTTTTGTAGAAAGACATAAATTATTTCAATTAAACAATCTCAAAGACCCCTCCCTTGTTTGTTCATCAAAATTATCATATACTTATTGCAATATAAATAAATAAAAATCACATTTTTATTATTATATAAAATAAAAAATCAATAAATCCAAGAAACGTCAGAGGTCATTAGTCAGAGCCGTTAAACAAAAAAACAATTGAAAAGAAAAGCATAAAACAAGAATAGAGGGTACCACGGACTTGTACCCACAATCCCTTCCCCTGAGATAAATTATTTTAGAAACGACCACCTTTCTCTCTCCTCTTATCTCAATTCCTTAATTGTTTACATTTATACCGCTTATCGGAATTAGTATAAAAAATGTAAAAAACCATTAAAAACCCAAGAAAGCAAAATAAGTATACTAACAATAAATGAGTAATTTAATATATAGAAAAAGACCATTAAATTAATTTTATATCAAAATTAAGATCATCAATATATTACAATAATAAAGAGACTTTTATATACACAAACATAAATAGACATAATAAAGAGTAAATCAGGAATAGTTTCTAAAAGATTTATAAGAAATAATAATAATAAATCACAAATTTTGATCAACCGTCATTCATGATTTATGCATGACATATTATTGTACGATATGATTTTTTGTAAGATTTAGACTTTGAATGCCGATTATGTGTTGCATAATATTTATATACTAAAATTGTTTTTCAACAATTAAAAAAATAATCTCTCAAATAGTTGTTGATTTTACTTTTTTTCTTTCTTTTTGTTCTAAAAGAAAATTGAACAAAATCTCAAAAAAGGAAATAGAATCTAGATTTGATTGCTTAATAGAATATATTGGTTATTATAAGAGCTTTGAAATAAATCTTGACAAATTGTGCAGATTTTTCTGGTCCATAATTTATTCAAATTAATTAATTCCCAGAAATTTAGTATAACAATTTCAATAAACCACAACCTTTGACTAGATATATTCAGAGGCTTTTAAAAGTCAAAGGAGAGTTCGATGTTCGTCTCTTGATTCCACACATGTCAACAGAGACGACCAATCAATGGGGATTAGTGCTCAAGAAGAGTCCCAAATTACTTATCTACCTCTGATTTTTTATATAACAATAATCATGGCGTAATTGAACAATTCCCTTTGATCATGCAAGTTGAATAGGAAAAGGAATATGATAATAAAAACAAAATCCTGAGATGGTAAAATCAAAATTAGATACATGTGTATCCTTTGAAAGTGATAGCAGAAACGAGAAGAAAAGATTTAAATATATTATTTGGACAAAATAAACAATCAATTTGTCGATTAGCATGGAAGCCGTACAGAAATTGAAAATCATTATTTTAATCGATTCGTAACTGATCCAAGGAATTAATAAGGAATTAATCAGTGAAGTAAGGTGTTTGTTTTTGAAGGAAAGTGTTCACAAGCGTGACCGCTCCAAAAGTCGATTCAAAACTACGATAGACGTTAAATGTTGTTGATGATGATGTTTTCAATCTCAAATCAAAATTGAAACTCAAATAGAGCATTAGTGAATCCATGAGAAGTGAACAGAAAAGAGCAGGTCAGGGTTTTCATACCAGATCAACAGTCTCGTTTTTGATCTCTTCGAGACTAAGAGCCTTATCGCCACCCATGTTGGCGGTGATTGGAAGAGCGACGACGACGATGAGGCCGAGAAATCAAAAGGCAATTAAGGAAAAGCAACAGAGATGAGTTAATTGGGGGAATTTAATGGCTGAAGAACAGCATGGATCAGTGGTAGCAAGGTTAATGAAGAGAGAGAGAATCAATGGAGTTTGATTCGTACTCAAACAAACCCCAAAGAGAGAGAGAAATAGAGATGGAAAAGGGTTTCTACAGCTGAGGTGTATGAGTGTCTCTTTATACTTCTTCACCAGACCTTGATGAGATGAGATACCCACCCGTTGAAACCTCTACCCTAATTGTGGACCCCTCTTTCCCAACCTCCACCCTCCCTTTTTTTCTTTTTTTAGTCTTTATCTTTTATTTTTTATTTTTTTATGTCATGCAAAGCAATAGCATATAATATTTTATTGATAAAGTAGAAATTATAATCGATAGTTAATTATAGGATTATTTGGTTGATTTTTTTTTATATTAAGGGATCGTTTTCCCAATTGCATACTCGGTAAGTGCTTACGGATATGAGTCAACACTATGATTTATTTTAATGAGCAAGATTTTAGTACATCAAAACATATCGAATGCAACAATTTACTGGCTAAGAGTCGTCATCCTCACTTACCGAGTAAGACTCTCCATCATTCTCATTGCTCTTACCTGGTAAGATTCTTGGCATTTCTCATGTTAATCCGATAAGGAAATTTATGAAGTAAACACTTATCAAGTAAGTTTTTAGTAAACGACCATTACGTATTTTTACCGATAATTTTGTTTGTGTAGACTGAAAAGGTTTGTATGTAGCAAGATTTTGTTTATAAATGTAAGTATTGTGTTTTGTTAAATTATAAGTTTTTGGTGAGAAACCAAAAATATTTTATATAATATTGGTGTTAAATTCAAGGGAAATTTATAGTAAATAATATTCTAGATTAAAAATAAAGCTGTAACTTTTTTAATTTTAATAATGGGTATCTTTTCTAGGATAAATATGATTATTTTAGATTTTTTACATTTAAGATAGATATTTATCATGTTTTTAATTATGTTTATCAATTAGTTATATGAATGTGAATATGTAGTTTTAAAAAGTTGTACTCAACACTATTTATTTATAATTTTGAATTTTAAATAATATGTATTAATAAACAATATTTGATGTATATAAAACTGTTTTCAAATCTTTATTTCAAATACTTTATAATATAGTATAGATAGATATAAATTTTGAATTTAAATATATTTATCAATTGTTTTTATAAAGTTCAAAAAATTCTAAAACATATATAAATTTAAGAGATTATACATTACTGAGGGGTCGTTACCAAATATTTGCTCGGGTAAGCGCTTATCAAGTCATATTACTTTATCTGATGAATATGGTAAGGACCAAGAACTTACCCGGTAATAGCAAGATAAGGACCAAAAACTTACCCGGTAAGAGCAGGACAAGGACCAAAAACTTACCCGGTAAGAGCAGGACAAGGAACAAGAGTCTTACCCGGTAAGTGAGGGCGACGACTCTTACCATGGTAAACGCTTACCGGGTAAATTATTGCTTACAATGTCGTTTTATTGGACTAAAATCTTACCGATAAGTAAATGATAGTGTTAAATTTTACCGGTAAGCACTTACCGGATAAGTGTTTGGTAAACGGCCCCTGAGTAATATTTAAGACTTAATGACTTGTTTTAAAAATATTTAGGGGCCGTTTACCCAACACTTATCCGGTAAGTGTTTACCGGTAAAATTTAACACAATCATTTACTTACCGGAAAGATTTTAGTCCAATAAAACGACATCGTGTGCAATAATTTACCCGGTAAGCGCTTACCATGGTAAGAGTCGTCGCCCTCACTTACCGGGTAAGTTCTTGGTCCTTGTCTTGTTATTACCGGGTAAGTTCTTGGTCATTGTCTTACTATTACCGGGTAAGTTCTTGGTCTTTACCATGTTCATCAGGTAAAGTAATATGACTTGATAAATGCTTACCCGAACAAACGTTTGGTAAACGATTCCTTAGATGATATAATACAAATAATATCATTATCATCTAATAAAAATTATAAAAAGAATTATACTAAAACTAGGTACTTACCAATTATAATGATCTTGACCATAAAGCCAGTCGAAAAATATTTAGGTTTTCAAAAACCATTTAACCCATTTCTAACTACGGATGGAATCTTCTTTAAGTAAATAGATACTTTTAATTTTATTAATTGTGAAAAAAAGGGTACTTTCAAATGGTACTATTGTCGTTAGGGTTATAAACGAACCGAACGTTCAGCGAACCGTTCGACGGAGAGTTTGTTTATGTTCGTTTATTTAATAAATTAACAAACATGAACATTTTTTTTTGTTCATTTAGTTAAATGAACGAACATGAACAAGAGTCTCGTTCGTTCATTTATATTCGTTTACGTTCGTTTATGTTCCTTTATATATTAAATTTGACATATAATCTTTTATTTATTTAGTTTGAATTCAAATAATATTTACTTAAGTTTTAACTTTTTAGACTTGTTTGTTTATGTTCGTTCATTTTATGTTCGTTCATTTAACATGTTAAGGAACGAACATAAACGAACACGAACCACCTGATTTCTAAACGAACGAACACGGACACAAAGATTTCCGTTCGTTTATCATTCGTGTTAGTTCGTTTGTTCAGTTAAGTTAAATGAACGAACATGAATAAACATCCGTTCGTGTTGGCTTGGTTCGTTTACAGCCCTAGTTGTCAGACCAATATGATTACTCAATTCTTTTTTTATCAGCCTGGATATCCAATCCACTATACAAGTCGACTAATTCCAGGACGATCACTTTTTTTGCTTGTAGCCCACAGTCACCGTATTTGAACCTCCTTGGCCACAAACAGATTTTTATTGCTCCTTGAATTTGAACCTGTGATCTCAATGCACTTGATCTTTGGAGCTCAAGCTCAAACCAGTCAGACATCACCCTTGTGGTTATGATTACTCAAATTTATAGCTGATTGACAAGTGATTTTTCTTTTTTGTGTGTGTTTGGTATGCAGATAAAAATAAGACACAACATAATAAAGCAAATAAAATTTAAAAAATGAATAAAATATACAGAGAGTGAAACACGTCTGTTTCATTTTGTTTCACTATATTTTCTTTTGTTCCACATAAAAGTCATGAAACTGTTATCTATGTTATGTTCTGTTTTATCTTGTTCTGTAAACAAACCGTGGTTCCATATTTTATGCATCACGATCCTTTATTCAAGTTGCAACTTTCGCATGACATTTTATACAATAACGTATGCGCACATGGCCTTACATTACACATTAGATATCGTGAATATTAAGAAATACTGCTTCTATCACAATCACTTATGAATTACATTTGAATTACACATACAATTTTCCATTTGACACGTGGAATAAACATATGTCACGATGAAGGACAAGTGTCCTCATTATTTGCAAATGTCATTTATTTCACTCCTTAATATAGAACCATTTCTCTTTCATTGAATATTAATATTTATATTAATAAAAAAATAAACCATGATGCCAGAATTATTAAATATTAGATATTTAATTCTTGATCTTGATATTCATGTTTCCACTAATTATTTGTCAAAAATACATATTTTATTAAATTTAAATAAAAAGATATTTTTATAATAATCAAAATTAAATATAGAATAAAATAATCAAATTTTTTTTTCTATTTAATAAATATGATTTAAAACCACAAGGGTGATGTCTGATTGGTTTGAGCTTGGTTCCAAAGATCAAAAGTATCAGGAGGTCCCAGTTCAAATCCAAGGAGAAATAAAAATCATCTTCTGGCCACAAAGGTTCAAATGCGGTGACTCCGGACTATCTGCAAAGCAGGTGGTCGTCCTGGGATTAGTCGGCTCGCATAGTAGGTTGTATATCCAGGTTAATAAAAAAAATGAGGGCTATCTACAAAGCAGGTGGTTGTTCTGGGAATAGTCGGCTCGCATAGTAGGTTGAATATCCAGGTTAATAAAAAAAAATGATTTAACGAGCTTGCTATTATACAAATTACGATATATAGATTATGAAATAAATGCGATGTTGGGTTTTAAGATGTTTCGTGATGAATTTGATTGTTTTTCTGAGTAAAGATTTTCCATTTATAACTGATTCATTAGATTTCTTGATTTTGAATTAAAAAATGTGTTTTAAATATTTACTAAATAATAAAATAATTTTCTTTTAGTAAATTATATGAATTGCATTTATTTTGTAACAAAATATAGTCATGATATATTAGTCTTCCCCAATTGACGACAAATCTTATTACATTATTCAGATTTTATTATTGCTGACATTGAACTAAAAAAACCATATTTGAACACCCGTAACTAATAATTACGTTATGAAAATAATAATAACTGATCTAATCACACAACCAGATTCCAATCGTGCAACGGTGGACTCAAAATTTATGTCAAGCAAGTGCACTTTTAAGCTGGATCAAAGGCTTTCTAAGTTAGTCGATTTGTATAATTTGAGCCTAAATCACACTGTTTCGAAGGATTCATTAGTTCTTTTTGGTTGATTTCGAGGGATTTTTTAAGTTCTTTGTTTAATTTTGAAGAATTTAAAAAAAAAATTCATGTTTTTTGGATGATTTTGAGGCACTTGTTTCGGATTTTCAGTTGATATTTCTTATCAAAATTTAATAAATACATCTTTTATACCCTATAAAAAAATTACTTACGAAAATCGATTTAAACAAACTTCGGATCATATGAGACCAAAGGTTTTTCATGAGACCCGTAAGACCAATTCTCAATCACTGGATTAGATCTACAATCTGAACATTCATAATCACAAAATTGTCACGAGACTTTTCAATAATCATAAAATTGTCGCCGTACAACTATAGACCATTAGATCATTAACTTATAAAGTTGATCAATAAACATAAATTAATCTTATAGATCTCACAAAAAAACTTTTAATTTTACATGAACCCAACCCATTTAAACAAATAGAGGTAACATAACCCATAAGTCGACCCCAGCAAACAATTATATAAATATGATGGTGACATGGATGGTCGCATGATATACCTGAGATGATAACCTTCTGCACACACACCGTCCGGAATGCAGGTTCGTTACGGGTCCACCTTTGAAACAATGAAGGGTTCCTAAATTTTCGTCCTAAATTTTTTTATTTAATA